TAAGGTAATTGCACTCACAGTACACAAACACCCCTGAAGGATACAAGTGGAATGCATACTTAGGGAGGTCCAGTAGTTGAAGGCAATACTTCCAGTGCTTGAAGGCAGCAACAAGCAGTCAAGCTGTCACAATTCACATCACCATAAATCATAGCGTGAGTTAAAGCGGACATGCTGCCCCCCCCCCCCCCCCCCCCCTCTCTCTACTATCTCACTAGCTAGCAAAACTGCATGGTTTGGTGTGTCATAACCTACCCCTACTAGTACAGTGCTCTGTCATCAACAGTCACTTGATAGCTGCCTGAAGTAATTAATTTCACTGGCACACATCACTGGATGTAATTAGACTGGTGATTATCCTGAAGTGGACATTTCCTGTGAAGAAGAGCAGCCTTGCGTTAGCTATGCATGCAGAATGTGCGTTCAGCATGTTCATGCAGGATGTGCAGTCATCACCTGTGCGTGCAGGCACCAATATCCTGTTAGGTCAGTAAAGCCTGTGTTCGTGTGTGGATCCTGTACCAAGCGGACTCCTGTGTTGATCAGTACAAATTGACTGGCACCAAAGCGCTGTGGATGGAACGTGCATCCCTGGATCAAGCCGGATCCTGTGTGTTTTGTTTCCCAGGACAGTTTCCACTGCACGTAGGGTGTCAGGTTAGAGCAGGTTTCACTCTAGTAGTAGTGCAGCCATGTACATTGTACTGATGTGGATATACAGTCATGTGAATGTACTGATGATGTAGATGTAAATGATTGTGTTCTGTATCTGTTGTGAGGTTCCAAAAGAGGCAGGTGTCATGTAGCAATAAGTCGATACCAAGTAACGTTATTGAATATTAACGTAATTGAATTAATTGTCCTGTCGAGCATTAACTTGAGCATAAGGCATTGCCCAGGGTCAGGTTTACCAGAGGAATGAGAGAATTGGTATGGACATGATACCATGAGTTACAATCCTACATTACATCCTACCTAATCTTCATAGGTATTTTGTAACCCCCCCCCCCCCTCCCCCCCCCCAACACCCCGCCCCGAAAGGTCCACCAAGTTTCCCTATCCACTGTGTGGACTAGTTAATTATGTTGTAGTTTGTAGTCTGTGGATTTAAATTAAAGAAGCACCTATTGCTCTGGGTAAGCACGTTTGGCACTTTGCTGTTCATGTAATAATCATGTCCTGTTTGTATGGATCCTGTAGGTACATGTCTGTTCCATGGACCATGGCTGCTGCATGCTTGCATGCATATGATAAAAGCAGTGAAAAATGTATGAATCATTGAATCTTGACTAGGGAAAGGAAAGACACAAAATTGACCGTCACCACCAGGACTCAACCAGGGACCCTCTGAATCATTGAATTATTGAATCATTGAATCATTGAATCACGTACTGGTACATGATACTGGTCTGTGGGTTTTTCCAGTGTGGCATGACTCTGACTTCTCACTTGCTCTGAGAGCAGGGCTGCTTAAGTGGACACAAGGCCAATAATCCTGTATAGCTAATTGCGTTTCAAGTGGCACTTGGCCCAACTTGGTGTCTCATAGTAACATCTGTTTATCAGCTGAACATTTAGTGTGCATTTAGGCAAGTTCATTGTCTGTTGTATGTTGAGCTGAAATTCCTAAATTTCAGATGTATGCCCCTTGTGTGTAAGTGCTTTCAACATTTAGTGTAATCCAAAGTGTCCCTCGTGGCCCAGTAGCACATTGGGAGTTACCCACACTGGCCTAGAGCTTGATTTGCTTGTGAAGTGTGCCGTGGAGGCGGGGTGCTGTGTTGTTTTGTGCTGTGAGGTGCTCAGTCACGTGACCGGGAAAATACTTTATACTTCTAAGCATGGCAGGAAGCTGCGAATGCAGAACGTACGGAATCGGGTGTGATATTTGTGTATATGGCGTAGTAGCATTTACAGTGAAACCTTTCTAGACGACCGCTCAAGCTCAAGGGACATTCAAAACATGGTCTCCATTACCAGATGGCCTCCTAATACAGGGTCAATTGACTGTAACTAGCATCCCTTGATCCTGGTCCCAGTGGTCTTCTGGGACAGGTGATCGCCTTATCCGAGTGGTCGCCTTGACAGGTTTTACTGTAATGTGTGATGGACTGGTTGACTAGTGTAGTGTAGTACATGTACTGGCATGATGTTCAACCATACACATGACTGTATCATCAGCTGACACTACTGTGCTGCTGTGCTACATGTTGCAATGTACAGTAGCACATGCAACTAAAGACCACCGTGACTAGCGGCCAGCCTGCTACTACAGACCACCGTGACTAGCGGCCAGCCTGCTACTACAGACCACTTCGCCAGGCACGGACGGTCTCGGATTCATAGAATTATTATGGTGGTGCAGTGCAAACCTCTAACTAAAGACCACCTGCCACAAAAGACCGCTTTCTCTGGCCCCCAAGGGGTGGTCGTTAGTCACAGGTTTGACTGTAGTGATACAGCCTCTTGTATGGGCAACATGAATTGCACGTATCACCAAACAAATTCAGTAAACTACTTCGAAGTATAAAAAACAATTCAAAACTAGTAAATCAATTGGAACACAAAATAGAAAAAGGAAAATCAATTGGAACACAAATTAAAAAAGGATAATAAATTGGAACACAAAATGTAGGAATGTAGTACCTGCGGAGTCTTCAGTCTCCCCTACCTTTGTCAGTATTAGTCCTAAACTAGCGAACCTGCCAGGTTTTTCCCTTGACATCAAGTCCTCTGTCTGTACCGTAATGCCGATTGATCTTGGAGTATTATTCAACCGTACCACTGTTGATGGGAGCAGGCATTGTAAGAGCCAATGTGAACTGTAACAATGGGACCAGAGCCACTAACTCATGTTATACAAAATGGCAATGTGTGACACTCACAGAATTGCTCATTAGCAGGACCAATCAAAAACTGCTCCCGCTCTCCGCCTGTAAAGATATTATTTCTGATAGTCCTCATTTAAAAGCAACAACATGCCAGCATTGTTCTTACAAGGATAGCAATCAGGACTTAGTGTGATTGAGACCCGTCCTTGATTGTGCTGTAAGTACAGTGTTACCTCATTTGGCAAGTGAACTCCTAGTGTATGGACAGCTACAGGATATACTGATCTGCAGTCTACCCGGTTAATAGCAATCCGTGATTGGCCATGAGAAAACCAAGCATGGCAGCTTTTCCTGAGTTGTGGCTATTCCCCAAGGTTGAACATTTGCAGTCCCATGATTGCTAGCTCTGAATTTATAGTGTCCTTGTTCGCAAGTTAGTTGTCCTTAGCTAGCTGTCATGTGTGCAGAGTATTGTATTTGAATTGTACTTGCATTGTGCACTGTAAAATTGAGGAAAAACACACAATGGAAACGAGTTATGAAGCAACTACAGTATCCATGACTGTAACAGGAGAATGAGCTGTCAGAAAGTGCAATATCAATGGTGTTGTCTCCCATGAAAAAAAGCTTGAAAGCTCTCCGGTGGCTCCATTCGTTTTTATGGTGGTAATGTGTGTCTGGTGATAGTCCCATTGCGGGTGGTTGTTGAGACTGTTGACAGATCCAAGGTCAGCTGTGATCATCTAACAGGCTGCTGATTGAGAGCTCTTGTTTGGCACACTCCCTCCGTTATGGTGTTGCATGCTCCGGCTGTGGCAATTCTGGTATCATGTCCACTTGCATAATTATAGTACTGTAGGTTGCCGGAGAAGGGCCGGTGGGGGGGGGGGGGGGGCAGCGTCCTAGCCTAGACCGTTCTTATTTTCATGTATTACAGTCGATGCAGAGTTTGGTCACCGTGTATACTTTGGTATGCTGTGCTTGGTGAAATTCTAGCCTTGTCGCTCTCTGGCACTCCGTTCTTACTAGGGTTAAGGATAGTACTGTACTGGGATATGCCGAGCAATTCCCAATTTCATGTTCTTCTCATTTGCATGTCCACAAGCTGCAGTCCATTGCCCAGGGAGCCCTATTACTTGGCGTTGGCATTGTCCACTTTGAGTGAGCATGCCAATTGAAGGATTTTTTCCTGGCTCCGGGCATGCCTCCATCTTTGAACACTGATGAGTCTGAAAGCAATATCAGACAAACATAGCAATCAGATAGGAATGAGCGCCCGCATACAGTGACAGCATCTCTTATCAGTACTCTTGTGTTCTCCAATGGGTTTATGTACTGTGCTGTACCCATACTAGCTCAAACTTCAGTGTTTGCATAACACTAGACCTGTACTTGGCTGGATATGCAGTTTTCGGCATACATGCCCGTGCAAAATGTGCTGTACTGAACCGTTCGTGTACTAAAGATGCAAATTTTGCACCAGTCCTATGGTGTATGTATGTAAAGCACCTGTCATCCTTTGACCCTATTGCCCATCAATCCGATCTAAGACAGTACGGGACTGTTTCTGTCAGTGGTCTGTCAATCAAGTATGCAATCCATAGGGGTAAACCCATAATATCATGTCTGGTGTGGTAATCTATTATCTTTGACCTTGGATTGGATACAAAATTATTCTTGGAACGTCTGTCCCAGTTCGGTTTGGAGTGATATTTGTGATCATCCAATCCTAACATAATTATTATTGTAACTCTTTGTCAGTACAGAAAAACCTGGTGTAAGCGACCTCTGGGTTTAGCGGCCACCTGCTCTTAACGGTCGTTTTTCCATGCACCGACAGTTCTATACAGACACTGTGGACCTGGTTCTAAAGACCACCTGGCTTTAAACCGACCGCTTTTGCTTGCACCGTGGGGTGGTGGCTTAAATCAGGTTTTACTGTATGGGCATTTAAGTTTTGATCATAGTAGTATAAGTCGCTTTTGTGTGTGTGTGTGTGTGGGGGGGGGGGGGGGGGGGGGAGGATTCCTGGTGTTCAAAGTGCGGCTGATACCCGGGAAGATACGGTAATCTATATCGTTTCTCAGTATTCGTATGCTGCTAGGTTTTTGCCAAAAATAGCTGACAGTGCCATTGCATGTTTGACTTTTCTGGCCTGATCCTCTGCAGCATCTCAAGCATTTGGCTTAGGCAGTGTACAAGCATCGCTAGGGATCAACGTATTTGACATCACTCAATGTCCAACGTCAGGTAAGGTAGACCTGATCTGCATGTTGTCCGTGTAGAGCAAAGAGAATATCCTGATTACCATGTATCAGCCATGCGGTATGCTTAGCATTGCTCCACAACTCACTGTCCACCCACGTAGCCATTTTCCGTGTGCAAAACGTGATAAAAGTGTGGGAAATGTTATTGATTTTTCGTTGAAAAAATTGAAAAAAAAACTGGAGAAACTTCAATCTTCATTAGTTTGGAGTGGAAAGCTGCCAATGGCATTTTTCCACTTTTCCTAATCAACTGCAGCATGTGCAGTGGAAAAAGTACACGTCCTTTCTTGCTTTGGTGCACGTCATATGCATGTTTCCTGGATTTGCACCTGCCTTATAGGAATGGAAATCTTGAACGTCCTCCACTGAGTCTGCTATGTACTAAGCTCTGTCTCTGATATTGAGCACTCTCTGCAGCTCTGGGATAAACGGATTTGGTATGAAGATCTAGGTAATCACCTTCACAATACAGTGCTCTGTGATTTTTCGCCCCCATCTGTTAGGTCTAGTCTGCGACGTACTACCCACTCCGGCACATGCCTCGGTCAAGCTCAGCGGCGACGGCGATGGAAGGGTTGCCATGACGATCACGTGCGCGCCCGGCCTGCACGTGGTGGGCAGTGCGCACATGGTGTGTCATCCCCACGGCAACGGAAGGCCGGGCGGTGTATGGCGTATCGATGCCAGCAACACCAGCAGGCTGGCCACGACTCCTGTTTGCGCTGGTGAGTCTTTTATAGAATTCTCTGTGCTGCCTATTTTATTACCGTATTTCCGGAGTGCCTATTCTGCAGTTGCACCCGTGTGTTCACCTCATTGGCCTCGCTTGTTGCTTCTTTCTTTTGTTCATTTGGCTTATGCAAAGACTAGCTAAGCTTGCTAGGTGATGTCAGCGCGAAAAGCTTAACATTATAAATAATAATAATTTCCGGAGTATGACAAGTTAAATCGCACTAGGGTATAAACCACACCCGGACTTTGCATTTACGCCAGGAACAAGAGAGTAGGCTGGCAACGACGCCTGTATTGCCAAAGTGAGTCCTGTGCACGAGTATAGCACTAGATGTGGGTTGCCATGACAGCACAGCTAATTTTATTGACAGCCCTAGAAATAGCTGTGCTGCCTAATTTAGGATTGTACGGTGTGATTTAAAACCTGGTAGTGACTGTGGCTATTGGCTAATCATTTTTCTCGCAGACAAATATTCAATAACGTACTCAGTTTGCCTTCCAGCGGATGCGAACTCCACCCCGAACCTGCTGAGTGCGATCTGAGTGCACTAAGGTTCTCACACCGTACAAACCTGTTGCACGATGCCATATGATTTTCTTTCCCTTGGCTGTAAAATCAAGGTGAGGGCGCTTTCGCGAGACGGGGCGCTCTCGCTGCACTTTACGGTTCATGCAAAGTTATTCCTGCAAATTCACTCGTTATCTTGTACTGAATTCTGGCTCTCTTGTAGAATGTCCATCCAGCGAGTTCTCCCCGTCCCCGACACGGTCTTGCTATAAACTCGCACAGACCCGGCGAGGTCAGTATGTCACCTACAAGTTGGCTATGCAGCTGTGCAGCGAGGCTGGCGGAGCGCTGGTTGCCATTGACGACGAGGCGGAGCAGCAGGCCATCGGCAACCTCGTGGAGCAGACACGGCGCATCAGATCGCGCATACGTGACATCATCATTGGCCTTGTTGACCGAGGTGAGTAGAACCTAACCGAGTCGTGGCCAAAGAACTGGACCCACAAGTCAAAAGCAGCACTGCATTTCAGCTGCAATTACACCATACATGGTCAACGAGCCCGTCCAACGACTGCAGGAACCGCATAAACCCAAACAACTGCAGTGTATAGTGTTTGCACCGTATTCCGTATACATTTCAGTTTCGCTTTTTTTTTTGTATGATGGCTTGCCACATGTGATCACACTGGATATACGAAAACATGATGGTAACCGTCTTAGACCGTCCCACTATGCCTGCCACTGCTTTAGGAGCTGCATATGTGCCTTGATCCTTGAAGGACGGTGGCGTTCCTACAGGTGCGGAAAACTCGACATCCAGCCGAGTTTCATGTGAACTGTAATTTTTATAAAAAAAATGTTTATGGTGACCGTGTTGCATCTGTGCTACTGGGTGCTCATGTGCAGGTGGCAGTGACTATCGCTGGATACACCATCCGGCCGAGAAACCCGCCTACACGAACTGGGAGAGAGATCACCCGAAGACCGGTCTGAAAGCTGTCGTAATGGAGTCCGAAGGAGCCGAGTGGATCTCCGTCAATGACTCCTTCATCTACGGTGACTATCTCTGTGAACAGAAAGCAAGTGAGTGAACTGGGAGACTTCTGGCTGTGCTGGTTTTCCTTTCGGGACTTTCAATTGTTCACGATTCTCTGTTCGCCGACCCAGGGCGTTTGTGTGTGTGTGTGTGTGTGCGTGCGTCGTGCGTGCACGCTAACCGGTGTGGGTGAGGAGGGCTGTTGCAGCAATAATCCTGGTCGACACAACTTGTGATCCAGCAGGGTTACTGGGCACGCGTTGACTGTTGTACGGTTGTGCTCTGTTTGTGCGTGCATGTGCACACATGTGTGTATGTGTCTGTGGATGTGCGCGCATGCGTATGTGTCTGTGTACGTGTGTGTATGTGTGCACTGCAGTTATTCGTTGCGACGATCCATCTCCCGTTGCCAATGGCCAGCTGGTGTACACGACCCGCTCTCACCCGTATCGTGTCAACTACGCCTGTGACCCTGGCCATACGCTGATAGGACCCAGGGTGTTTCAATGCGGTGCTAGTGGACAGTGGACCAGTGCCGATGGCAAGAACAAACTTCCTGTTTGTCAGCGTAAGTCACTACTTATCACTTCGTCCTCTAATACACCCCATCACCCCTAACACCCTATCCACTACCTCGTACTGTTCTCACTCAAACTTGCATTCCTTTCCCCCCTGTCTTGCGCACAGCTGTGACATGCCCGACCCCGCACCACCTCAACAGAATCGGTATCGTGTCGCGCCACGACGAGACAGTGACGGCGTTTCCGTACGGCTCTGTCATCGAGTACAGCTGCGCCACCGGCTACAAGCTCAAACACACGCACGCCAACCGCACCAACATCGTGACCAAGTCCAACGGCTACCGATTTGCCAGCATTGAGTGCCAGGCGAACGGACAATGGTCGGATCATTATCGCCATCACATACTCAAATGTGAAAGTAAGTACAGAGTCTTTTTGCTGCTTCCTACACGGTTGTAGCACAGTATACTCAGAACGAGGTTCCCTTAAGCCAGCGTAAAGGGATCAACACCATGACGTGGAGCACTACTACACACAAACGGCACAACGGAGGTTTACATGGTGCGTCGCAACTCTGAATTTCTTGTACAAGGCAATCATCAGGCGACTTGGAAGTCTGAATTGCGACAATTCTCTGTAAGCCTCCTTTGTGCCTGTTGTGGGGTAGTATACTCATAGTTGTAGCTAGATGCACTGATGAAGGGCGACCAGCAATGCAGTTACAGGTTAATTAGTTATATTCGGTGTAGCCAAGAGTAATGGAGTGTTAATAATGGAGGCATGTTACGGTGTAGTATGTGTCATGTCTTCATGTTCCTTACAAATACTGAGCTATATATCATTGTTAGCAGCAATTGTTGATAATTAGTGTAGCCTTGCAAAGTCTCCTAAATCACCTTAGGCAAAAGGGAAGAAGACATCTCAAATTGTCTGCATTTGACCTCACCTAACATTTGCCGGTATATTATGATGTCATAATATTATGACTCTGCCTGTGTTTGTACTGTGTGTATGATGATGTCACACTGCAGGCTGCAGTTGCTGGACTGCGTACACGAGTGCTGAAGTGTGTGACTGGGTCAGTGGCCAGTGTCTGTGCAGTGATGAGCTGAACGCCGAGGGAAAACACTGCACAGAATGCAGAGTAAGTGTGTGTCTCGTGCCGTACAATGGAATTATTTTTCACGCTAAAAGTCAAGTTTTTTGTTGTAATAAACATGGAAAAAATGTGGGCACCAGTTTTGAAGGTAGATTTCGACCTTGCATTACGTCATTACGTCTGTCGAGTTTTTGGAGAGAAAATAGCAGCTTGTACGTGTCTAAGTTCCGTATACTTCTGAAATTCTCCGTAAATTCCAAACTTAAGAGTGATCACGAATCATGCCACCTGCTGGCTCATTCTTGTGTGGTGGTGGTCTCATTCTTATGTGGTAGTGACCAGATAATGATTTAGAGTTAGGGATATCTTGAATCATGGGCAGTGCTCGATCTTGGACTTTGTAAGCTAGGTCAGGTGTTGCGTCCCAGGGCTGATGCATTGTTCTATATCTTTGTGACGTGATTTCTTGCAAAGGATGGCTATTACCGGCCAGGCACAGATCTCAGTAAGTCATGTCAGCCGTGTAAATGTGGAGTGGCCACACAGCGTGGTAATGTCTGCCACAAGAAAACTGGCAAGTGCAACTGTGTTCCGGGCTGTTTCGGAAACTGCAGCATTCCTCAGTGCAATTGTAAGTGTCTCGTGTGTACTTGGTCCGCGTCAGCGATATTGTCGCTTATCTTTCAGCTTTGTTTATATGTCGACAATGCTTACTTGGCAGCCCATTTCATCGCAATTTTGGTTAGCAAGTTAGTTTGCTAGTACCTGAAAGGTCTAGCTAGAGTTCGAGTGGATTTCAAGAGCGACAGGTGGGCGATTCTGATTGATACAGCGCCGCATCAAAATAGATTATCTTTTTACGCTGTGCAGGCAAGAGCAGCGCAAGCCACAAGAAAGTAATCGGCTACTCGGAATCAGCTCCATTTTGCTGAACGGCCGAGATCGCTCACCTCAGGGATCGCTCATCAAGCTGAGATCGCAGCTCCCTTACCTCCAGCTCAACGCTCGGAGTATCCAGCGCGTCGTGGAGATTTGCAAGTACTGTACGCGTCGTCGTTGTTCAAAATAAAATCTTGCAAAGAACGGTGTCTGATTTGAACCATACAGGCTGTCGTGCTGCCCACGCGAAGTCCTATAGAGAAGGCGACCGTCACGATCGATTTCTCTTTAGAAAATAGCCAGGCAGCGGAGAGGAAGAGAGATGAGCTTGCAAAAGCAAGAGAGTCGATCCCGAGCAAAAATATTTGTCGCCAGCGACGAGAGCAGCGACGAGGAGGACCGAAAAAAGTAGGAACCCTTCCTTGGACAATAAATTCCTCGCAGCTAGTTGTCATTCTATACCTTACCGTCCATCGTACCAAGTTTTATCACTTCAAGTGCACGTGTTCATGTCCAAAGTCTAAGTTTAAATTGTCGAAAGATAAGCGACAATATTGCTGATGCGGACCAAGTATTTGGTGTGTGTGTGTGTCTCTTGCAAGCTGTTGAATGGTGCAATCCCAGCACAAGCTGCTATGGCTTCTGCTGTAGCATCGCTATCATCGCCTCTGGCGATGGGCATTTAATGGTCCAATGGTCCAATGGTGTGTGTGTGTGTGTGTGTGTGTGTGTGTGTGTGTGTGTGTGTGTGTGTGTGTGTGTGTGTGTGTGTGTGTGTGTGTACCAAAAAGTAGGGATTCACTGGCCAGAAAAAGCCACTTCATAGCTGTGTGGTGTAGACCAGGCTGAATAGTGGCGGTCAATTCTTCAGCCTTGCAAGCTGTTGAGCGGTGCAATCCCAGCACAAGCTGCTATGGCTTCTGCTGTAGCATCGCTATCATCGCCTCCGGCGTTGGGCGTCCAATGGTCCAATGGTCCAATGGTGTGTGTATGTATGTGGATATGTGTATGGGCCTGTTTGTATGAGGGAGTGAGAGAGATGTGAGTGTTCTTTTACATTAGTTCTACTGTGTGTGTTTGTTGCCAATCCGCCTGATGGCGCTGCACCTACTTGACTTATAGTACTTGCATGGCCCTCTGTTGACACACTGTTGTACATTGCACACCTTCTTTCTGCCACTCTCTCTCTCTCTCTCTCTCTCTCTCCACATACAGTGTACTGTGATGGCGAAGACCTGGACACGTTGCAGGGAGTATTCGAATGGCCCAAGACGGGAGTGACGGCGGTCGCCACACACGATTGTCCGCTCGGTATCAGCAGAGTATGCAATGACAGCGGTATGTGCCGAGGTATGGCTGAGCGGAGGTGTATAATCGAAAACGGCATGGCAACGTGGCAGCGAGCGGAGACAGACGATTGTAGCTATGCCGACCTGCTCACCGAGCAAATCAACAACCTGCAAACGGTGAGCAGCATTCTCTATGTTTTACTAAATTTCTTTGAGATGTATAGTGTGAACGGTACCATTCGGCTGTTTCTTTGAGGAGGAGAGTTTGATGTATTTTAGGTGTATAGTGCGTTTCAAAAGACCTCTAGACTTTTTCGAATAATTCAAATTTTGTCTGAGTGTTTTGAGATATTTCTTCGGGATATTGCTCAGGCAGTTTCCCCAATTTGTTTCTCCTATAGATTTCTAAGCGATATATTGGAACCAATATTGGAATTTTTATCCACAAAGTGATCAAAGATTATATGGGGTAGAGAATAGAGATGCTGACCTAAAGGTTTTTTGAAACCAGAGATCTGGACTTTTGAAACGCATTATAGGCTGTATTGCATTGAGGATTCTACATACCATGGAAATCTGAGAGTTTTGTAGTTAATGTAATTATTTTGTGTCCTTCCGCTTCCAAGCAGGTCTTGAACCTGGTACCCTCTATTTCTCAATCATGGTCTTAGACCATCCCACTATGCCTGCCTGAGGAAAATATGGATGCAGTGAATGGGATTTTCGGTCTTTGACCACATGCTGTTGAGCTGATCTACTCACCTCCCACTGCTTTAGGAGCTGCATCTGCACCTTGATCCTTGAAGGGTGGTGGCGTTCCTACGGATGCGGAAAACCCGGCTTCCAGCCGAGTCTCACGCGAACCGTGAATTAAAATAAAAATTAATTTGCGTAGAGCAATGATGGTGAGAGCACAACTGGAAAAAAAAAGGTGATAAATACATGCGACGCTTGGCATGCTGCAACATTCAAGCAAACAGCAATGTGTTTGATCGGGATCAGGCGATGTTTTTGTTATCATCCTCATACCTGCCAACCGTTTCAAACCTGAGATCGGGACAATGACATGCCTAGCTTTGAAAATGTATAGAAGTGTAGCTCACCGCGGCGAGGCATGCGACAAACGCACTTTTTGCTGCCTGACACCATCCTCGACATCGGAACGGTCCCGGCCAAATCGGGATGGTTACCAGTCTTACCAGGTATTCATCCTGCCTAGCGTGTTCTCTAGATCGAAACCTGTATTCAACTCTGATCTTCTGGTGGAGTTGCTTAAATTTGGTCTTGTGCGTGGTTGTGCGATTTGGGTTTCCTAGTTTTTGAGCTCCAGTGTGGGAAGCAAATCTATTTTTTATAATACCTGGTTTTGTGTGTGTGTGTGTGTGTGTGTGTGTGTGTGTGTGTGCGTGCGTGCGTGCATGCATGCGGGCGTGCATGCGTGTATGTGCCATTTCCTCACCTGGTTTGTAGGAGAATATCTCCGCGAATAATGCAGCGGACATCGCCGATAAGCTGAGCTCCGTTGCGAACAGCAAACCGAACATTTCCTCCGCCGATATCTCCATCTCCACCTCTCTGCTGGAACGCGTGGTGTCTACAAGGTCCAGTGACGTGAAAGTAAGAAAAAAACATCTAGTCTGGTATTCCGTATTTACAGGTCTCGGTCAGACGACCGTGGACTGTGCTTGTGATCTTGCATGTGTAGAGCGGGGAGGAGAGGGAGAGGGAGGGGGGGGAGTGGGGGGGGGGGGGGGGGAGTGGGGAGGAATGGAAGTGTGTGTGTGTATGGGGGGGGGGGGGGGTGGGGGTGAGAATAGGTTCTTGGTGTTATGGGGTGTGTTGTTAGTTCACGTTGCATGGCGTTGTGATCAAGAGAACTCCGAGTTCTCCAGGCGAGACCCAACAAGAGAACTCCGAGCTCTCCAGGCGAGACCCAACAAGAGAACTCCGAGCTCTCCAGGCGAGACCCAACAAGATTGTCGTGGTTTGCTGTACACGGACTGACTGGTGCACGTTGTGACCTTTTTCTTCTCTTTCCAGGTTGGTGTTGGATTACTGAGCACTGTGTCAGCATTGGGCAATGCCAGTACAGAAGTGCTGGCTGAGCAGGGTGAAAGCAACACAACTAACAGGTATGTGTTGCAGTGTTGCAAGGGTTGCAAGGGTTGCAAGGGTTGCAAGGGTCCGGGCATAATCTCCTGATACTGTTAAACCTGTCAAGGTGACCACTCGGATAAGACGACCCCTGCCCCAGAAGACCACTGAAACCAGGACCAAGGGATGCCATTTCCAGTCAAATGACCCTGGATAAGGAGACCACCTGGTATCAAAGACCATGTTTTGAAGGTCCCCTTGAGCAGGCGTCTTAGACAGGCTTCACTGCAGTGACATCAATGCGAGCAATTCTGTGTTGAGACTGATTGATTTTCTTTTGTCAGTGTAAACTGGCATCTCACTACACTCTCCAAGCGGTCTCTGGGCTTAATGAAAAAGAGAATGATGTCATCCAAATTTGCAGTATTTTTGCAGTATTTTTAAAAACATTTTGAAGAAGAGGTTGGTGCGACATTGGTGCGACATCAAACATAACAAACATTTTGTCTTTGAAATAGCAATTTGTAAGATATAATGCGCTGTCATTCTATAATCATGCATTTGCATTCACACACAACATCAAGGAACAGTGTTTGGGATCTAGGAACGTTTTCCCATGCCAATCATCGTTTAGAATAGAATTTGATTTTTCATCAACCATCACAACCACAGGTGCGCTCTCTTGGCGACCTGCTGTTTACCCTTATTCAATGTTGGACTCGTACCTCGTCAGTTTTGTGAGTTTTCTGCCTTGTTGCACTTGCTGACTGTATATGATCTACAGTACTGGAAACTGAAATCCGACCCCCCCCCCCCCCCCCAGCGGTGCGCTAGCCGAGTTAGCGACTCGTACGAGACGCTAGGGGGTTGGATTTCAGTTGCCAGCACTGCAGTTACTTTGGTGGACAGTAGAGTAGATCATAACTTGTACCATCTTTTCCTTCCATCCTCTATTTATTAATTTTTGTTTTTGCTTTCTTTCTCTTGTTCAGGTTGCTAGCAGTGGTGGACGACTACGCACTAAACACTCCTCTAAACCCTGGCGAGTCATCCCGTCGCATGGACGTGTCCGGCATCGGTATGATGTTGCAGGATGTGGACCCAGCGGTGGTCGATGACTCCGTGCAGATCGTAGACCCGAACGTGGCCGCAAGCCTGCCGGACGACTTGTTCAACGACGGCGACGTCAACCATAAGATCCGTCTTCAGGCTACTGTATTTGCCGACTCGTCGCTATTCGTTCGTAGGATCCGTAATCCAAACTTGCCTATCTATAATGTGGGTGATGACGCGTCAACGACCGATTCTCCAGTGACAACCGACCAGGCTGTGGACCATCGCGTGTCCAGCAATATCCTTTCTCTAACCGTTGCCGACTATGATCCCAGGAAACCACTGAAACGGCCTATCAACCTGACCTTCACCCAGCCAACTCTACCTGACAACCAGGCGAGAAATCCATCCTGCGTGTTCTGGAACTTTAGTCTGAACGGTAAGTGAAAAGAAGAAGTGAAGTTTCAAATCTCAGAGATCATCGTCAGATAGCGTCTCTCAGTGTGCTAAGAGATACAGCAAAACTGCAACCTGTGTTGTGTTCACGTCTACATCCGCGCTGTGCCATTCCTTGGCCACTTCGGACACTCAGGATAGTAGTATATCGAGCGTGTGTGCGTGAAACGGACTTCGCGGCTTGTAGTTGCTGTGCATGTTTTGAGTGTGGACTCTTGTCGTTTGGGACTGGAGATATAGTGTGTTGAGTATCATAAGCTAGGCTGACTAGCCGTGCATTAACTCCAACCTTGCTTCTGGAACAATGAAATCTAGGTTCACAAGCAATGATTTAGTTGTCTCAGTATATGTTTCAGTCACATTTTTGATGGGTACGTAGTCATAGTCATTGTTGGTTTTGTTTCTGCGCATTGATTTCCTGTGAAGGCATGTGTGTGTGTGTGTGTGTGTGTGTGTGTGTGTGGTTGTGTGTGTGTTTGTGTGTTTGTGTGTGTGTGTGTTTGTGTGTTTGTGTGTGTGTGTGAGTGTGTGTGTGTGTGTGTGTGTGCGTGCGTGCGTGTGTATATGTGTGTGTGTGTGTGTGTGTGTGTGTGTGCACGTGCGTGTGCGTGTGTGTGTGTGTGTACCACGGGGATTCACTGGCCAGAAAAAGCCACTTCATAGCTGTATGGTGTAGACCAGGCTGGAAAGTGGCGGCCAATTCTTCAGCCTTGCAAGTTGTTGAATGGTGCAATCCCAGCACAAGCTGCTATGGCTTCAGCTGTAGCATCGCTATCATCGCCTCTGGCGATGGGCGTCCAATGGTCCAATGGTGTACCACGGTCGGGTGTAAGATTTCTCTCTCTCTCTCTCTCTCTCTCTCTCTCTCTCTCTCTCTCTCTCTCTCTCTCTCTCTCTCTCTCTCTCTCTCTCTCTCTCTCTCTCTCTCTCTCTCTCTCTCTCTCTCTCTCTCTCTCTCTCTCTCTCTCTCTCTCTCTCTCTCTCTCTCTCTCTCTCTCTCTCTCTCTCTCTCTCTCTCTCTCTCTCTCTCTCTCTCTGCCCTCCGTTCTGTCTCTTCCACGGTACAGACTGGTCCTCTGAAGGCTGCACGCTGGTCTCTCAGAGCAGCGGAAACGTGGACTCTGACGATGCTCAGTCTACGCTCACGTGCGAGTGCACGCATTTGACGCATTTTGCCATCCTAATGGTACGGGTAGATAGAGCTGATGAAAAGTCTTTAATCTTTCAATATGATCAGACCCGGCTTTGACCAATGGTTTGTTCTTCTACCCCAAGTACGGTAAAACATGCCCTAACCGGACGCGCTTGGTGCAGCGGAAATTGTCCTAATACGGCAGGATTCCGCTTCATCCTGGGATGCAAGTTCGATCTATAGCATTTTGGTGCATGAACTTGGGGCCGGTCAATACAGGACTCCGCTTGGGCCAGAGTCCAGTAAACGCAGGTTTTACTGTACGTTAAAAGTTGGGACAACTGACGAGCAAAGACACTTATATCGCATTTCAAATACATGTTATTGCCAAGCGGCTCTGATTGGTGTTCACTGATTGGTCAATAAAGTGGGCATTCACCGTCTGATCCTGTACGTCCGGTGGTACATTTACCGGTTATGTCTGTCTGTTGTGTATGTGTTTAAATCGGATGTGTATGTGTCTGTCTGGTGTGTACGTATGTGTTTGTCTGGTGTGTGTGTGTGTGTGTGTGTGTGTATGTGTATAAGCAAGGCCGGTCTAGGCAGCTCCAGCTAGAGAGGTCAATTCACAAATGTGCAGAGCAGTATACACACACACACAACAGAGGTGAAAGGCTGTGTACCGTATTTTTCGGAGTATAGTGCGCACCTTTGTATAACGCGCACCCCCAATCTTCATTGTGGGTGCGCACTTCAATCTTCATTGAAGTACATGCATTTCATATTCGGAGCATAGTGCGCACCTGCGATTTAGGGTCTAAAATAGCACATCTAAAGTGCGCACTATACTCCGGAAAATACGGTAGCTGTTACTTTAAGTTTCACGCATTTCAGCAATCATCAGACAGCAGCATTTACATGTATGCGTGTATGTGTATGTGTGTATGTGTGTGTCTGGTGTGTATATGTATGTATCTGTGTGTGTGTATGTGTGTATGTGTATGTCTGGTGTGTGTATGTATGTATCTGTGTGTGTGTATGTGTATGTGTGTGTCTGGTGTGTGTATACACGTGTGGTTTGTACAGGACTTCTCACCGGACAAGACATCCAAACACACAGTGGTGTTGCAGTGGATAACGTACATTGGTCTAGCGCTGTCCTTGGCCGGTCTCATTGGAACATTCATTGTCTTTGGCTGCTACCCGTAAGTTCTGGTGTGTGTGTGCGCGTGTGTAGAAGAGAGAGAGAGAGAGAGAGAGAGAGAGGCGTGTATCTAGGGTTGTGTATGGAAGGAGAGGGGGGGGGGGGGGAGGAGCGTGGCGTCGGAAGGCAGTCTAGAGTGGTACGGTCAGCCATCTGAAGTACAACTTACTTGGGGGCGGGGCTCTGCTGGATATAATCAAAATTTAGAGCTGGGTACGCAGTGAATCAACAAAATCCACTGATTTGAGTGTTTCCGTTTGTACATGTGCATTCATGTGTGTGTATATGTGTACGTATGCTTGTGTGTCCACGTGCAGTAAGCTGCGACGTCAGCAGCAGATGCAGATTCTCCTGCAGCTGTGCAGTGCCTGGACCGGTGTCATCGTGTCGTTCATCATCGGCGGAGAGTTGGCCGACTATCCCGGTGCATGTGCTACATTTGCAGTCTTCACTCATTACTTCCTGCTTGTGGTGTTCATGTGGACTCTAGCCCAGGCCGTCTTTCTCTACATGGCGCTGGTACTGGTCTACACCGAAGGTGTCAAGGCAAAGTTCCGCAAGGCCATCGTCGTCTGTTGGAGTGAGTGCTGTCATAATGCGGATTTTTTTGTCTCGTGTTTCAATTCAGACGGGGGTTTATCCCATCACCTTTTACACATGATCTTTCGCAGCTACTGTCTTGCAGCCAGCCTGCAGCATTCTGAGTTCTAAACGTTCCTTGCCTGAGATATTTTTTACTAATTTTAGTGTCATACAGATGGTTGAAATATGATAAGTGTTGTCACTACTGCACAGTGGAGTTCTTCCACTGTTCATATGATGCTCGATACGGGACGGGGCAGAACTATCTCACACAAGAGTCGTGTGCTGATGTATGTCAGGCTTATTCGGATAAACCTCTCACGGTTTCGTTTCACGAATTCCTGTTTTGCGTGCAACCACATGTGCGTTGGCTTATGAATGTTTGTGTGTGTGTGTGTGTCCTTCTTTTGTGTGTGTGTGTGTGTGTGTGTGTGTGTGTGTGCACATGTCTGCATTCTTGCATGTGTGTACGTGTGTCCATAATCGGCAAACAGGTGTACCCGTGCTTATTGTATCGATCACACTCGGTGCTACCAAAGCAGAGGCTTACATGCCCAACCCGGACAAGGTTAATGTGTAAGTTGTAGTTCCCTGTGCGTATGTGTGTGTCACTGGGTGTGTGTGTGTGTGTGTCACTCTGTGTGTGTGTGTGTCACTCTGTGTGTGTGTGTGTACGCACATGTGTGTGTGTATGTGTGTGTGTGTGTGTGTGTGTTTTTGTTCCCTCCGGGGACGGTTTGAATTTTCCAAGCTCCCTCTGGTTGTCGAAAGTAGTTAGTTTCACGTGTCTTCTGGGGCGGCTCTGGTCCACCAGGGCCGTCCCAGGACATGTAATTCTCAGCGCAAGAGATTCAGGGCCAGCGCAACTAGAAGACGGGGTGTCGAACGATGGCACCACTTTTTGTTGCGCCTGAATCTCCCACTCGCGGCGGATTGGCAAACCCCCCGAGTGGACAGAGATCATCAGTGTTTCAAAATCTGCCCAGGCACGGAGAGAGAGGAGGAGACACTGCCTGATCTGTGTCGGATCCTGGAATGTTCGTTCTCTCATTGAGAGCGAAGGGAGCATTAAAACGGCAAGTATTCAAAACAAGGTTGTTGTAGACAGGAAACTGGACCTCGTCATCTCCGAACTACATCGACTCAGCTTGGATGTCGCTGGTGTACAAGTGTGTGTGTATGTGTGTGCATGTGTCACCCTGTGTGTGTGTGTGTGTGTGTGTGTGTGTGTGCACGTGCACGCACGTGTGCATGCGTGCACGTTCTCCCTGTGTTTGAGGGGAAAGTTGTCCACAACGGACATTCAACTTGACCAAACCGGATGCGTCCTTGTGAGAAATGAATTTGTGCGAGGGAATACTTTGATGCCGGATTTTTGCGGGGTATTTGTGGAAATGGAGAATTTCGGCCAGCGAGCATAATGTTGGTGCCGAGGGTAGCAATGGTCGGCTTTAGAGCGCATGGAGGAGGAGAGTCGCATGGAGGAGGAGAGTTTGTTGTAGTTTAAAAGCAGCCGAATGGTACCGTTCACAGTGTTATTGATATTCGTTTTAATGCAGTGCTCTCTTGAGTGTAGGCAGGTTGCCTGCAAACTATTCAAGTGCAATGAAGCTGCGTGAAGCGTCCTTCAAAATATTGATATTCGTTTTGATCTGGGTTGTTCTTTTCTGGTCATACCTCCTTGCATGTTTCCAGGTGCGTTCTGAATATCGTCAACGCCAGGGGTGCGTTCATTGGCTCCTATCTTGTGCCGATCTGCCTGATCCTTGCCGCTAACCTGGTCCTCTTTGGCCTCGTCCTGAGGCGCATCATTAAGCCACGGCCCGGTATGAAGAAACGGCAGCTGGAAGATCACAAGCGCGATTTGAAGGTAACATAACTCGTTGTGACGAGCGTGCATAGAACACGGTTTGTAACTCCATGCATGGCATAGGGATGGGGTATCTAGTCGTCCACACCATTACTACAAGTGTGTAAATGGATGGTACAGGCTGAACCGATGCAGCAACAGTACTGGAGAGAGGGATAAAAAGGCCACGCAGAGTTTCTATTATCAGATTCTGTAGTAAAGGTTTGCCATCCATCCACCGATTCACTGACATAGCAGTGTTGACTTTCTCCTTTGCAGTTGTTGTATTGTTACGCTTTTCAACGGCCGTAAGAGTGTTGGAAAGCAAGTGTCTTTGTGCGTAGCCATGACAATCATGGTGGTTCGGTGCGAGTCTGTGCAAAGCAGACACAACCCCAACGTGGTCCTCACTTCGCAGTTCGCCATTGCCGGCCACTTGGCTATGCACCTCTGTTAATGTGTGTTGTGTTGTACGGGCGGAGCACAACGACTTAGATTGGCTGCGGTCTCTCCAGTGTGTATTCTAAGAGATGTTCGTCTCCAGTGCGTGTGTCCTAAGAGACATGCTACTGTGTCAATGTGCTTTTTTCACATCCTGTTTTCGCTGTAGATCTCCATCTCACTGGCCGTGTTGCTCGGTCTGACCTGGCTGACGGGCATTGGTATAGTCGGTGAGGCTCGTGTAGCCTTCTCCTACATCTTCACGTTCCTCAACGCCTTTCTGGGATTCTTCATCTTTGTGCTGCACTTTGCGCTGCGCGGCGAGGTGGTGGACGAGTTCAAACGCAGTGTCAGCAACAAGCGCCAGAGCTTCGCCAGCACGCGGTCCAGCACTCTGCGCAAGACGTTCCTGTCGGATACCAACTCGCGCAGCGGCGGCGGTGGCGGTGGTGATTCATCGTTCACCTCCAGTACGGCATCCACTACCGGCGCCTGGCGACCTATAAAGTCCGTGGTGCCGCAGACACAAGGGATCTCCCCCGGCAACGCTCGCAAGGGCTCGCTTGAGTCCACCGAGTCTGGCGACAGCTCGGCAAGCGACCCGGTGTCTCAGACGCGTACGATCTCGCCGGAAAAGCAGTACCTCAGCGGGGACGACGCCACCAAGCGACCCCTCGCCACCATTAAGTCCGATCCGGAGCTCGACAATGTGTCCTCACCGTCGGTCCAGGCAGGGGAGCCAGCGCCTGCAACTGATGTCGAACGCAAGGTGGTGTTACCTGCGGACGATGATGATGGTACGCAGAGCTGTGCGTCCAGCAGCGAAGCATGAATCCTGTCCCTTACTGATGTCCGTACCACCAAACTGGACATTAGTATGCAACTGAACTGTCAAACTGAACAATTTTCAAGGGAACGCTGTTCAACGTAAGACTTTACATGCTCACTTGCTGTGCGAGCAAGCAGAGTAAACGTTAGTTTATTAGTAAGATAAACCAAACCATCTGCAGACATACTTCAAGTAATAGCGAGTACTTCAGTTAGGTCAGTGCCATATGTTGCATGCAGTGCTGTGCGTAATATTGCTAGCTGCCCTTTAATGACCGTGTTGACTTGGTTAAACTCTTAGGCATGCTTGTTGTTGAAACACCATACCCCATGATGATGAAGCTGGGTCTTCAATGCATTCCGTAGCTCTCTCCCTCTCTCCCTCTGAGCATGTGACATTGCCTTGAAACCAACCGCCGCCTTGAATCTCACTAAGCTGCCGTAAGCGCGTGTCCTGTGTTTCTAAGAATTGGTGTCAGCAGGGCTGAACCCTGCATGCCGTGCGCGCTCCCTTGATCTCTCTCTCTCACTCACTCTCTCTTTCCATCTCTTTGATGCTTTGCTTCTGTTTGTTGGCCTCGTTTCAACCGTCTAGCTAGGCATGACAGACCTGTGTGATTGTGCGCATGAGTCGTACCGTGAGCTCTGGGTCCTTTGAAATCCGATCCATACCATATGTCCATTCTTTGCGCACCGCATATAATTATTTCGTATTCTGCCTGCATCAGTCATGCTGGTTCCGTTCTTGCTCCACTTGTTTTGTCAGCTATTTTTGCATTCCCATGATTGGCTCCGATGTTCAAATGCCTGAGACGCGATGAGTCCAGGCTGGTCAGAACTTTGCGTCATAGCTGCTCGGGGCTCATGCGTTACTAGTGCAGTATTGGTTCGAAGTTGGGAGTAAAACCATCTTATATTTCATAACATTGTCAACGATTGACTACACACGGCACAGAGCACGACGCATCATTCGGTGTAACTTACTTAAAGTTTCATGCCCATACTAGGCAATCCTCAGACATGAACTATGGGCATGAAGATATTAGTTACAAGGAATGATGCGTGGTGCTCTGTGCCGTGTGTAAGAGAGCCCTGTTCGAATGGATATTGAGCACGCTACTGAGCCGGAGGACTCTCATTTGTCAACGTTTGACTAAGTTTTTGTAGTAATGTGAGGATCATAGTGTCCATGGTTCCCACTGATTTAGTTCAAAATCTGCAACCTACATCAAATACATGTACCGGTACTTACACACAAAAGACACAAAGAATGTTTACAGTCCAGAGTCCGTCGCAACTCCACAGTTCTTGTACAATGAATGAGCGACATTGTACATGTATGACATAATTTCTAGTATTCCGTGGGTGTGACGGTACCTGTAACTGGCGGAACAATAACATGGTATTATATAACCCAATACTAGTTCAATACTAGTATTTAGATAAACCTTGTTAGTCTCCTCCACCTTGTTTCATGCTGTCAAACTGTAACAACAGACAGTCATGTACATGTACTGTCGTGGACATGGAAATCCGGTCGCACGTCTAGCAGCCCCAAGGCGCTGGCCATGCAGCCGTAGGTGAGCAGTACACACATATGCATGCAGCGCGCTGGTCGCGTCGGATCAACAACAATAGTATACAATCATGATTGTGCACTGCATGCAACGAGTTGCATGTACGTAACCCACGGTTACGTTCTGTATGTGCAGAGCTGAGGGCGCCGGCCCCGGTCAATGGACTGGATTTCCATGTCAACGACAGTAGCTGCTGCACTGTCACTGCGTCACTGCTTCACCGACTCACCGTGTTACATGATGCCGTGTTTGTGTGAGGGTAAGTGATGGTGCCAGGCCAGGGATTTGTGGGCGACTAGTACATGACCATGTAGGTCAGGGAAGACACTCCCGGTTGGATTTTCGAAATAAAACAACCATTGAACTAACTCATAAAAAGGACACACTTCAGGCTCATTACAAACATCTTGAAAGTTTTTGTCTTCACAAGTATACTTTCAAGCCTTCTCATCAGGTGAAATACAGGCAAGGGAAAAGGAACATTTAGTATGTACATGTACATAATAAATTAATAATAATAATAATAATAATAATAATAATGTACTTTGCATGTCTAGCTAGTCTGACCCTCCAGGAAATCGCGATTCCACGGATGCAACAAATTTCGCGATTTTGGCCCAAACCCGCGATTTTCAGCAAAATCCGCTGTTTCCCGCGTTTTTTGTTGTTTTCTGCACTATATCTCACATTTGTATGCACTTTTCACGCAGTTCTTTCCATGATCCTGTAGGTTATTTGCACAGTACGACTCCCGAGTAGATATACGATGCAACAAATTTCGTGATTTGGCCCAAATCCGCAATTTTCTGCAAATAAATCCGCGAATTCCTGGCAAGTTCTCCATCATTCCGCACTTTTCGTCGCATTTTTTGTTACTTTCTGCCGCAATTTCTTGCGCAAGTTTTCGAGAGTTTTTTCCGCAAATTCCCGCAGGGACAGGCTAATAGTGCTCTAACTACTTCCTGAAACCCGGGAAAGTGGACATACATGATTGTACATTATACTGAGCTTGTATACAAACTCCCATCTCTCCCCACACAACACTCCAGACTTGTATTTTGCATATAACAGGTACTTCGATGACGAGAATATAAACTGGTATATAAACTGGTATATAAACTGGTATATAAACTGGTGTATAAACTGGTATATAAACTCCTTTTTTTTAGGATTACACTAGTGACCTGCAGTCCGCCTTGATGGTTTTTCGACATGCACGACGGTCCCAACTTCAGGATCTCTTTCCCGTCAACGATGAAGAATACAACGTCGTCCTTTGTAACATGGGTAAAGGTATAGTTTAGGGTCCCAAATTATTTTAGTGGGTCAGCATGCTCTACAGAGTCCCAGGCATGCACATTACACATAGGCCTTGGCCACAACTGACATCGAATACGATGTGGATGGACAACCACTGGTGTATGCAAAATCACCTTACGATGCGAACGAAGACGGCGCAAAGGACCATGAAAATTGCCTGAGTTTGAAGCTCGGTGATGCCGTGCGTGTCTTGAACACCTCCATAGGCAAGGGAAGGTGATGGGTAGAAGTCAAAATATTCGTCGTTCTGCCAGGAGGCTTCCTCCGCGCCGCGCAGGTCATCCTCAGTGCCAAGGAATGATGATGGAACGTAGCCAGACTCGCCATCGACTTCTACCCACCACCATCCCTTGCCCATGGAGGTGTTCAAGACACGCACGGCATCACCGAGCTTCAAACTCAGGCGATTGTCATGGTCCTTTGCGCCGTCTTCTTTCGCATCGTAAGGTGATTTTGCATACACCAGTGGTTGTCCATCCACATCGTATTCGATGTCAGTTGTGGCCAAGGCCTATGTGTAATGTGCATGCCTGGGACTCTGTAGAGCATGCTGACCCACTAAAATAATTTGGGACCCTAAACTATACCTTTACCGTAACATGTGCCATGTGCTGCACCTGACGTTCGAGGCTGTCCTTCTTTCGCTGTTTCAGCACTCCGTCTGTCAAGCGCAGCACTCGACATGTGCGGCTGAAGAGCCCCGCGGCCGGCCCGCGTGCCGCTCCTCCTGCGTTTTTGCATGGACATAGAATGCAGATAGCAGGGGCGACGGAACTTCACTACTGATGGTTTTCCAATCGATGTTCTCCTTTCCGCGTCCCTCGCAGAGCGGACGGAACATGCGCAGCCATAATCCGTGGCACTGCCAGTGTTCTTAGAAACTGCTGCTTGAATAATGACATCGTGATTCGTGGTCGTCCTCAGAAGAAACGTTTGGGAGTCGATTCAACAGGCTCGTGCTGATTCATTTTACTCTTACTTTGGAAAGGAGACGAACTCTATGCCTCTAAAGTCTAATGAGCAAACGGTTCTTTTACAGAGCCCGCGGTGAGATCTGCGCGCGGTAACCAGGTAACGGTCACTAGCACTGTGAGGTTCAAACTAACTTACTTGGCGCATAGTATGCGGCATAGCTGTTACTTCCGATGTAACTAGTACTTCAGTACTAAACTGAAGTCACAAAGAGTGTGTGATGGTACTGCACTGCATGTACTGCACAGAGTCAGTGGTGCTGGTAGTCTTGTACTTGATCCGCACTGGGTTGGTGAAAGGAAGACTCGTCGAGCCATGGTTGTGGGTTGGAATTCCAATCTCTACCCTTGCGGGGGAGAGGGGAGTTTGTATATCAGCTCAGTATAAGCATAATATAACCTACTCAGTTGATTATAATGGGAAATATAAACCAATATACAAACCTCGGCTTCGCCTCGGTTTGTATACAGGTTTACATTTCCCATTATAATCAACTGGTTTATAATATTAACTGGTTTGAGGGAAAGAGAGGTTTATAATAGGTTATAATAATTATTATAATGACAGTCATGTTTACATGGTTTATCGAAGCAAAGCCTACGCCCGGCTACGGTGTGAGACGCATTTTGGCACGAGAGCCATGGCAGTGCATGGGGCCAATGAATACAGGCCAGCAGATCTTGCAGGGGGGCTTGACAGGTACGACTAGTCTACGTATTGCTGACAGTGCAGAGGAGGCTGTTTGCAGCGCTGGTCGTGAAACCTGGTTTTTTGACACTTTGTTTTAGGAAACAAAAGCACCAAGCCGTCCAAGGAACTACCCATTCAAATTTTAGAACCACATCATTGCATATGCGGCTGCAACCATTTTTTCGGCCTGTACTGCTGCCGCCTGTATACACAGTGACACTGAACCTTGTGAAACAAAAACCAAACACCTCGGCCTCAACAGATTTTCGGCTAAACACGACCAGGCCGAAAGTACAATGTCATGTACATGTAGCCGAAAAGAAATATAATTATGGCAAATATTGGTTGACTTACTGTATTTGACATGTATTTGACATAGCTTCACAATATCTGAACTCCACAGTGTGCAGGTGTGCGGATTCTGCTCGAAAAGCAGTGAAATTGGCAGATTCTGCTCGAAAAGCAGTGAAATTGGCAGATTCTGCTCGAAAAGCAGTGAAATTGGCAGATTCTGCTCGAAAAGCAGTGAAATTGGCAGATTCTGCTCGAAAAGCAGTGAAATTGCCAGAACCATACAACCCTTATCATCAGTTATGGCGGGCAATTCCTCGAATTCTGCTCCATTTCTCTATCCACATACCAAACATGCATGAAACTTACCAGAAAAAGTACCGAATTCTGCCAATTTTTCTGCCGGCATTATCCGCGTATGCCTACCACAGTGTGCAAGTACAGGACTCATGGTATTAGCCAAAAACCATACGAGCCACAATCAAATTGTTTTGACACAACACCTGGATTTATATTAACAGTTAAAAAAATAAATAAAAGGAAGCGAGAGGAAATATTCCCAGAGTATGCCAGAAAATCCTTCTGAATTGAATTTATTATGAGAATGAAAACCATCGAAAAATCCTTCAGTAGATAAGTGCAAAGGCACAAAAATCCCTGTGGATATGTTCCGGTCTGTGTTCTACCGTTCTAGACGAATTGGAAAATTGGAAAGGTTTAAACGCAAACTCATGCAAAGCTAAATTTTATGGATAATGAAATTAGAAAAGAGAGGGAGAGAGAGAGAGAGACTAAACAAAAGCAGGTTTACGTTGCCGCAAGTTCTTGAGTTTCCCACTGTGTCTGTTAGAATCTTTTGAGCTGAAGAGTGCACAGCGTGAAATCAAGAAGCAAGTAAAACCTTGTTCTGTCCTGTTGGTAAGGACGCTCTTTCAGCTATGGTGGCATTGAGCATTGTGCGGAAAGGAGAATATTCAGCCTACTGTCAAATTATAGAACTATGGTGATGGGTGTTGCTGCTGCAGTATCAGTCACTGGGGATACCATGTGACAAGTTCCACAGTCTGCGGAAGTCTAGTAAAAAAATCAATGCAACAGACTAGGGATACTCAGACGTGCAGCAACCGAAAAAAATCAGCGCCTCTAACTCGACAAAGACAGCGCCGATCCGCAGCGCAGAATTGTAAAAAGAGGGACAGCTGCCAGCCTAACGGTAACATGTAGAACTCATCACGACTTACTAGCGTGGCTGGACTGGTAGAACGCCTTCAGGACTTTCCACGCTTCCGGTGCCATGAAACCATCCGGCGGCTCCTGGCCATCCCGCGCCAGCCGGCGCATCTTGGTGCCGGAAATGAACTCAAAGTCGTCCTTGCGCGCCGGGTCGAAGAACGTCATGCGCTTCTCCTGGACGTTGTAGGCGGCCACCTTGAACGGCACGATCTCCAGCTGCGGTAGACCAGGCGCCATCTTGAGCACCTCACGGCCGTGATCTGCATGGTACAGATCCACGCCGGTCTCCGTGTTGGCCATGCCGGCCGGGTCGCGGCCGACGATGTAGAACTGCGCGCCGCAGGCCACGCGCGCCTTGGCGTGCCACTGCACCTCGGTGGGACCGGCGTACATCATGGGTGAGGGGAAGATGGCGAGGACGGTGGTGTCCACGTCCAGGACGCCCTCGCGGAGTATGGCCTTGTGCTGCTCGATGCGCACGTGCAGCGGCACATCGTCTGCCTTGGTCCAGCCGCCCAGCGGATGCAGCAGCAGCACTGGTTTCTTGTAGCCCCGCGCAATCAGGCGTGTCTTCGTCTCAGCCATCAGCAATGCATGCCCGTTGTGGATGGGATTGCGCAGCTGGAAGGCAAACACCGCGTCGGCACCGCGCCGCGAAAACTCGCTCAGCAGCTCGTTGGGAGTGCGGCGAAACGAGTCCAGACCGTCGTCCCAGCGAACGCGCTCCAAGACCTCCAGCTCGCCACCCAGTAGCCAGTCTCCGGCCTTGAACATCATCTTGACGTAGGGGTGACTGCGGCATGCTGTCCCCCACTGGCGGCACATTCTCTCCTCCTGACGGTGAGCGTACACTTCGGGATCGCGCAGGATGGCAATCGGCTTCTCGTCGTGGACGAGGAGCACGGCGTTTTCGCCGGCGATGCGCTCGCGATCCTCACCCGATATCGGCAGCACGATGGGCACCGATTGGTTGACGCTTCCCTGCCGCGTGTTGATGTTATGATGCAGGCACTGCAGGTAGTCTTTCTCTCGCATGAACCCGGACAGAGGTGATGCCCAGCCTTCGCTCAGCACCTGCACCCATTGCAAGTCAAGCGTAGTCAGGTGAACGCGCTTCAGCGTGGCACTCTCCTCTATAGCTGCCGCAAGCTGGTCTTGAGGAATGAACAGCTCGCGCACTGTCTTCACCACAGAATACGGTAGAATACCACGCTTGCGCAGGTGTTCCACCACCTGCGCCACGCATTCCTCTACGCTCTTCTCCGCTGTTTTCAGCACAACGTCCGCCTCCAGAGGGGCCTCATACGCCGAGTCGATGCCAGTGAAGCCCTTGATCAGTCCCTGGCGAGCTTTCTTGTACAATCCCTTCACGTCCCGTTGTTCGCATTCCTCCAGGGGTGTGTCCATGTATACCTCAATGAACGGAAGTCCGCTCTGCTCGTGGATTCTCCTCGCCTGGGCCCGATCCTGCCGGAACGGGCTGATGAAACTGCTCAGGCACACGAGACCGGCGTCGGCGAACAGGCGCGCTACCTCACCGATGCGTCGGATGTTTTCCGTACGATCCTGAGCGGAGAATCCCAGATCTTTGTTGAGTCCATGTCTGACATTATCGCCATCCAGTGTATAACAGTAGATGCCTCTCGAGGCTAGGTAGCTCTCCAGAGCGAAACTCACTGTCGTCTTGCCCGCTCCTGACAAGCCAGTGAACCAAACAGTGCAGCCGCGGAATTCGCTACCCAGCACCTTGCCGCGTTTGTCGCGGCTCACAAAGCTACTCTGAAACTGGACATTTGTGGAGCGCACTACGGTGGCCGGTCGCTCCGGATCCGGGCCCTGAACGTCAATTTTCTCTGACATGGTTCTTGCAAAGGTATTACTGCGAGAGCAGACGACAGTTGCCACGGCTTGACGGCAGTAACTCGGAACAGGTTGACTCCGCGATCCGAGAAAAAATTTGACAGGACTTGTACATGACTGATTGTAGTACTCTCTACTGTAGCTCTGTCGATACTCGCCTCGATCTTGGGGTTTGTCAGGCGGAAGTTAGTTAGTGGAGATCCTATGATGAAGGGTCGATCGCCCTACTGCCGTACTACTACTACTACTGGCAGTGTCAGTACTGCTGCTGCACTGCAGGGGCTATGCGGGACCTGGCATGGCATGCACACCAGGACTAGGGGTCCGGGCCGTGCTGAGCGTCATTACATGCTTGTACTTCTGAACACAACTAACACTTCACAAGTACCACTCACACTACACTTGAGCGGAAGTGCATCGATTTTTCGAGTATGGTTCAGAAGAAAGACAATTATTTTGATATCGGTTCGAATGGCATATCTCTCGCTTCCATACGATAAGCCAAACTTGCCAAATCGCCAATTGTATACTCACGTTGCCATAGCGACCAGCGCAGTGATGACGTACGAAAGGCTTAGTTCCACCACAGAGAAGGTCGATCACTGCAGAATTTGGTCATTTTCAATTGGTTTATTGTATTCACGAAGTGAAAGAAGGGCTGTGTTCAATACTGTTAGTGCAGTGAACTGTTTGTCAGTAGTCCTCTCGGTTGTGTACTGGGACGTGACACCGACAGGAGAAAGCTGGAGTGCGGAGACACCAGCAGACAAGCGAAAATAGTGACGAGCAAAATGCTGAAATCTTGGTTGGGACAAATCAGACGTTCAGCAATTCCCCCAGCCAAGGACCCAGCCGTTTGCTCTTTCCACTTCCTGAAGATGAATGTGATGCTTCCTGGCGACTCTCCTATCTCTCGTAACATCTTCTGAAGCCAGGTGAGACGACGGGTGGTGGAGATTGACGAATGAAATAATGTCGTAGGTTTGAAAGTTTGCTGAAAATGTCTCATGAGAGATGGCGAATTCAAAGCATCTTGTCCTATAGGAAACCATTTCCTAGGCACAGTCAGCCTAGGTAAATGCATGAGAAGGGCGATAAATACATGAGTTCACGGCACTAACAGCATTGAACACAGCACTTCTTTCACATGGTGAATATAATAAGACAATTGAAAATGACCAATTTCTGCAGTGATCGACCTTCTCTCTGGAGGAGCTAAGCCTTTCATATGTCATCACTGCTCTGGTCGCTATGGCAACGTGAGCATACAATTGGCGATTTGGCAAGTTTGGCTTATCGTATGGAAGCGAGAGATATGCCATTCGAACCGATATCAAATTGTCTTTCTTCTGGACCCTACTCGAAAAATCGATGCACTTCCCCTTTCAGTGTTTACAAATGTACTGCAGATCTACTCGAGTAGACCTACGCGTGATTAGAGACCTCGATCGGTAGGCACCGGCGGATTATGCCGGCATAATTATTGGCATAATTTGGTGGTTGAAAATTTGGAGCATAATTTCAATTTGGCATTCTCTCGGAGGTAGGAGCATAACTGCATGATTGTATCACAGTTCTAGTATGTAGGCTATACAATTGTGTACAATGCACCTGATCAGTGCTGGTGGTCTGCATGGTGAAGGGACCGGAGGTCATTCAGATAGTGTTTCAATGAAAAGCAGGGTAGAAATCATGGCAATACAGTATTGTATGCTCGAACTCGTCTTCTTCAAAGTTTTTTCTCACACTGACACAGTACATGTAGCAGAAGATTCGAGTGAATCAGCCTTCATCAGGTATCCTGGGGCGGACGAGATAGTGGCGGGTAGTCCGCAAAACTCCGTGTACTACAATACATGTACATGTACATTACATTAATTTTGTACATTATGCATGTTACGAAGTCATGACCTCTGGATTTTAGCAGCCGTGATATGACTGCAGGCTATGGATATTGTGATATATAGTTAATGTTCGGTCATGATGGAAGGAGAGGTGGAGCTACGGGAGAGATGAGCTGATTATTCCCAAGGTGAGGGTGACATCGGTTGGACGAGTATGATGTTACGAAGACAGTTGAACATGATAATTTTCAAAGGTAACTCAAACTACTTTGCAATGAAATAATATTTTTACCGAAGTACAAAAGAAATCAGGACGCGAAAAGCACTAAGTGCGAATTAAAAGAGCACCTTTGGGAAAGGGCTAACAGGGAGTACTGAGACATTCGGCGGCCTGACACCTAGCTCACCATCCGAATTCTTCTATTCATTTCAGTAGGCTCTTTTAATTCGCACTTCGTGCTTTTCGCGTCCCTCAAAATATGCTGAAAAAGTGCTCTTTTTTCAGTGAAAACAGGCAAAAAGTGCTCTTTTTTCAGCCCGCATCGTACGGGGAAATGCCTCCGGATGGCTTACGGTGTTGCCCCTGAAACGCGAGGGGTATGATCTGTCGAGTACAGAATTCCGCGATCAACTTGCCATCCGCTATGGTCGGCAGCCGCTTGCCCTGCCAGCGCAATGTGATGGTTGCGGGAAGCCCTTCTCTCTTCAGCATGGCCTTGACTGCCCGAAAGGTGGACTTATCAAGCGAGGCCACAATGACCTGCGTGATAGCGATGCAAAGCTAGCTGATATGGCATTCGGTGGTGTTGTCGTCGAGCCGATCATGGTGCCGGAAGGTGATCGGACGGGGCAGCCTGCTCTTCGGGCAGATTGGCTTGCCCGGGGTGTGTGGGAGGATAACAGGGTGGCGTTTTTTGATAATCGCATCATTGATGCCAACGCACCCAGTTACTCCCATTCATCCTGGGAAGCTACTTCCAACCACGCTGCTAACGCGAAGAACAAGAAGTAACGTCAGGCCTCCGAGGACCTCCGTGTGTCGTTCACACCACTGGTTTGTTCCACGGATGGGGTGCTACATCGCGAGTACGCCAGCTATCAGAAGTGACTTGCTGGTCGCCTCGCCCTCAAGCCATTTTCAATTATCATGGCTTGGGTGCGAGTTCGCAGCCAATTTGCAGTGATCCATGCAGTCGACCTCCGACTACGCGGGTCTACAATGTAGAAGGCGCCTGACAGGCCTGTCGACGCAGGATGGTGCTGGGGTAGGCATCGGCCATTGAAAACTGAATTTCGTCTGTTTTACGTGGAATTTCTTGGACTTTCCCAATGTATTGTACTTGATTAAAATTCTAATTTTACCTTTCATGGTATCTCAATTTTTTCACGTCTACATGACTTTATTTTGCCCATAAAAGAGGCCGTTACCCCCGAAAAAATGTACTAAACAAGCATGACTCGGCATGAGACAAAAACGACAAAAACCGTGATGTTCCCTATGCCGACATAATCCGTCATTTACGATACAGGATCAGTCTATCTCTCGTGCGGTGGCAGATAACTATTGATTCCGGGGTTCGCGGGCGTCTTATGGACGCGGTGGATCGGATGCCAGCCGACGTCACCAATTTGTCACGGAGTGTCGTGCTTTAGCTCACCGACCGCATCAATGAATTATGTCTTGTACTTGACTCTATGTTTTCTTGCTGTGTTTTTTGAGTCCTTTTAGAGCTTTTGAGTAGCTTCTGGTATGATTGATTAGATGTTGGTGTGCTTGTGTGCGTTTTGTGGTAGGTTTTGTTTTCCATTCTCCGATTTTTTCGTTGCTGTTGGTCGGATTGTGACTTTGTGTAGCTGCTCTTGTTTTTCTGGATTACTGTTGCGTTTTCTATTGTTTTTTTCTTCTTTTTAAAAAAACTCGGATGGTGAGCCAATATAGTTATGATGAAGAAAGGAAAAGGACAAAATGTAACGAGTTATGACAAACTGTCCACCAACGTAACCAGATCTTATACAGTCAGCAAGTGCGACAAAATGGCACAAAACTAACAAGGAGTACTGAGACATTCGGCGACCTGACACCTAGCTCCAACAGTTCTCCAAGGCGCAAACCAACAACCTTCCAACTTGGAAGGCTCAGGTTCGGAAAGGTAGGGCTTCTATGTTTATTACATACACTTGAGCCTCCCAAGTTGGGTGGTCTGTTGCTTTGCGTCGTCGAGTTGTAGTAAGGCCGGTCTGTCCAATAGTCTTACTAGTTTCGTCATCATCCAGTAACTGTCGGCATTCTTTGTTGCCGGGATGCGTAGCTCATGCTCTTCTTCGTTGCGCTTTCCTTCCCCTCTTGGACTTTTCCGAACCTGAGCCTTCCAAGTTGGAAGGTTGTTGGTTTGCGCCTTGGAGAAGTATTGGAGCTAGGTGTCAGGTCGCCGAATGTCTCAGTACTCCCTTGTCAGTTTTGTGCCATTTTGTCGCACTTGCTGACTGTATAAGATCTGGTTACGTTGGTGGACAGTTTGTCATAACTCATAACATTTTGTCCTTTACCTTTCTTCATCTTTTTTTTACTTCTATTTATTTCCATGTTTGGAGAGCGAGTGACGCCGCTCGGTCATGGCCGTCAGCTTCCACTGGCCCATGGGTAATGTCTTCTTCGCCAGGAAACAGGCAAGCTTGTGGAAGTATTTTGAGTAGTGGAGCGAAAGGCGAGGGCTTGTTTCGCATTGGTACGTTCAACGTCCGTGGACTTACTTCAAATTTCCAAAAAATCAACTTATTTCAGACCTCAATAAATACAGAGTTGGACTCTGCTGTCTTCAGGAGACTAAAATCTCCGAAGAATACGATGGAAATATTGACAACTACCGTCTACTGTGTCTCTCGTCGTCGTGTCGACATTATGGGCTCGGATTCGTGGTGGAAAAGCAGTTACTGCACCGAATATATAGATATTGGCAGGTGTCGGACCGTATCGCCGTGCTACAGTTATGGCTCTCCGGGAGAACGGTGTGCTCATTTGTGAATGTCTACGCCCCGACGTCAACACGCGTTGCAGCAGACCATTCATGCCTAGACGAGTTCTACAACAGCTTGCTGGAAACAATTAAAAAACTAAGGTCTTCATCGCTGCTGTTCCTGATGGGAGACTTCAACGCAAAACTTGGGAAACGACCACCCAGTGACTGCCACTCCATATCCTATGCTGGTTCACACTCAAGGGGCCATCGCAACTACAGCGGCCAGACTTTGGCTGATTTTGCGTCCAGCAATTACCTATTTGCCTGTAACACGGCGTTTCAGCACCGTGCAGAACATATCACCACATGGACAGGCTGGCGCCACAACCCTAGTGGAGGTCCACCTTTACCCATTTACAACCAAATAGATTATATCCTTTGCCGTCACAGTGAAAGGTTTGTGGTGACGGATGCCAGATCATACGCCGGAACAAGCTTAGAAAGCGATCACCGTCTTGTGCTGGCAAACCTCAACCTGACAAAGTTGTACAAGAAGCTCAAGAGGCCCCCAGTAGCCATATCCAGCAATGCAAAATTCAATATATCGGAATTTAGTGACCCGACCAAGAAAGCAAAGTACAGAGAGGCTATCAACGAACATCTACAGGACCTCGGCAGAGAGCAGGAAGGTGTCAGTGCGGAGCAACATCTGCAGTATATTGTGAACGCTATGAGTGAGGCAGCAAACACATCGGTGGGCCGCGTCCCTAAAACAAACAAGACGCATAGAAATGGCTTCAGCGGGGAAATTGAAAAGCTAGCAGCAGAGAAATGCAAACTGCGTCTCGACATTACAGTGTGCAGAGATGGAACGAAGGTAAAAGAAATGAAAACACGACGCAACAGGCTGGCACACCAAATTCGCCGGGAATGCCTCAAGTTAGCATCGACTCGACTGGACGAACGTGTAGCTGAAATAGACCAAATGAAAGACGACGCAAAAATGTTCAAAGCAACAGGACTACTGCGCCAACAGCAGCAGTCACCAGTTGTGGTTGAAGACTCTGATGGCAAACTCATTGCACAACCTTGTGAATCAGTCGAAGCATTAAGGCAACACTTCCGTGCTATATTCTGTGATCCTGCTCTGGAGTCATCTAGGCTCTTACGAACAGAGAAAGACCTTAAAAACCCTATAAAGCAGACAGAGGTACATGCCGTAGCTAAGCGCTTGAATAATGGCCGAGCTTCGGGACCAGATGGGATACCTGCTGAACTTATCAAATATGGAACACCAGCACTGTTCTCGAACATTGCCACTACATTCAACAATTATGCCAAAGACAAATCACTCAAGCTAGGCGATGGGCTACTGATCCCGATACCAAAGCCGGGAAAGAAAAGAGGTCCTCCTGGAAATGTAAGGCCAGTTACCCTGTTGAACACCCTACGGAAACTTCTTTCATTGGTCATCCTGACGCGGATCAAGCCAGCTATCAACGGGTACTTGTCACTGAACCAGAGCGGGTTCCGGTCAGGGAGAAGTACTGGAGACGTGGTATAATAGCTATCCGTGGTTATCAGCAAGATGCCAACGGGTTGCGTCGGAGATCTCAATCTTAGGCATTGATATGTCAAAGGCATTTGACACTATATCGAGGGTCAGGCTGATCGATATACTGTCATCAGTCATTGATCATGATGAGCTGCACATCATCCAGTGCCTTCTGACAGACACCACAATAAAAGTAAAGCTGAATAACATTCTCAGCCAACCATTAGTCACACTTAATGGAACCCCACAAGGTGATTCTCTATCGCCAGTCCTGTTTACTGTCTACCTCGAGGCTGCATTGAGGTTGATTCGAGAGCGACTCTCACCGCGATCAGCATTGGATATTCAGCTTCAATTGCCCAATGAAACAGCGTATGCGGATGACGTAGACTTCATCAGCACCAGCCTACAATATTTGCACGACAATCAACCCATACTATCATCCTCGTTAGCGGAATACAATTTAAAAATGAATGAAGCCAAAACCGAATATACTACAATTAAAAGAGAAAAGGACAGAGTAGACGAGCGATGGCGGAACACGGTCAAACTGGGATCGATGCTTGGAGTGGAGGAAGATATCAGTCGGAGAAAACGTCTAGCAACATGTGCCTTACATCAGCTGTGGGTGATATGGCTAAGAGGTAACCATGCCCGTGAACCCCTTCGGATTAGGTTATACAGCAGCTTTATTCTCCCAATACTTCTTTATAACTGCGGAACATGGAGCCTGACAGAGACACAAGAAAAGAAACTTGACTCGTTCCACCGCCAGCAGTTACGAGCAGTCATAGGGGTCAAATATCCCCGTATAATACGCAATGAAGCACTGTACAAGCGCACTGGCTCCAAGCCACTCAGCAGAATCATCCAGTCTGCTAGGTGGAGAATGCTTGGCCACATGCTTCGACTAGACACCTCATCCCCGGTCCAGCAGGCTATGTCAGCATACTTTCAACCAGGAAGCTCAGGGTTCCGAGGCCGCCCGAGAACAACCCTCCCGCGATCTATCAACAACGACCTGAAAAATTCCAGATCCACAAACTCCCTCACATCACACGAGGATCTAGTTGCACTGAGGCAGCTTGCCCAGGATCGTCGAAAGTGGAAGGAACTAATGTGTGCTGTGTGTAGTGGCTGAAGTTATACAATTACACTAGATACTCTAACAATAATATCGGATACAATTACACTAGATACTAGATACTCTAGATACTAGATACTCTAGATACTCTAACAATTTTATCACTAACTGTATACGTATGTTTAACTCATTGTATTTCTTTGTATTCTGTATCTCGTTGCAGGCAGGCACAGTGGGTTGGTCAAAGACCATGATTGAGATACGAGAGGTACCTGGTTCAAGTCCTGCCTGGGAGCGGTTTTTCCAGCCGTGCTGCTACCCACAGTCAACTGGGAACTTGTGGCCAGGCACAAGGGGTACATGGATGCAGCTAATGGGGTCGCTTTCGGCACTTGTGCCAGTGGTTGTGAGACTTACCCACTCACCCCCACCGTTAGGCGCTGCATCTGCCGCTAGGGTTTATGGGGTGTTAGCGGCCGTCGTGAGTTCCCTTCGGGAACGGATACGATAATTTACTTTTTACTTTTTTTTACTTTTTTTTACTTTGTATCTCGTTATCGTTATCTTTTCCTCTAGCCCTCTCGCTTAGGATGAGCTTTCTTTTTTATGGCAGCTTAAGCGAAGGCTATATACCTGCTTTATGCAGGTTGATGCCAACGCGAACAAGCAAAATAATAATAATAATAATTTATTTCCATCCATGCACACTTCACACATCTTTTCAAAGCATTCGTCTAGCGATTCGTCTAGGGATTCGTCTAGGGATTCGTCTAGGGATTCGTCTAAGAATTCGTCTAGGGATTCGTCTAGGGATTCGTCTAGGAATTCGTCTAACGATTCGTCTAGGTATTCGTCTAGGGATTCGTCTAGGGATTCGTCTAGGGATTCGTCTAGGGATTCGTCTAGGGATTCGTCTAGGGATTCGTCTAGGGATTCGTCTAGGAATTCGTCTAGGCATTCGTCGAGGGATTCGTCTAGGCATTCGTCTAGGGATTCGTCTAGGGATTCGTCTAACGATTCGTCTAGCGATTCGTCTAGGGATTCGTCTAGGGATTCGTCTTGGGATTCGTCTAGGGATTCGTCTAGTGCTTCGTCTAGGGATTCGTCTAGCGATTCGTCTAGGGATTCGTCTAGGGATTCGTCTAGGGATTCGTCTAGCGATTCGTCTACGGATTCGTCTAGGGATTCGTCTAGCGATTCGTCTAGGGATTCGTCTCGGGATTTGTCTAGGGATTCGTCTAGGGACTCGTCTAGAGATTCGTCTAGGGATTCGTCTAGGGATTCGTCTAGCGATTCGTCAAGGGATTCATCTAGGGATTCGTCTAGGGATTCGTCTAGCGATTCGTCTAGGGATTCGTCTAGCGATTCGTCTAGGGATTCGTCTAGGGATTTGTCTAGGGATTCGTCTAGGGACTCGTCTAGAGATTCGTCTAGGGATTCGTCTAGGGATTCGTCTAGCGATTCGTCAAGGGATTCATCTAGGGATTCATCTAGGGATTCGTCTAGCGATTCGTCTAGCGATTCGTCTAGGAATTCGTCTAGGGATTCGTGTAGCGATTCGTCTAGCGATTCGTCTAGGGATTCGTCTAGGGATTCGTCTAGGGATTCGTCTAGGGATCCGTCTAGGGATTCGTCTAGCGATTCGTCTAGGGATTCGTCTAGAGATTTGTTTGTTTGTTTGTTTGTACATGTATACTTTATTTGAATTCGCAAATCCAAACGAGCACAAATGCTCAATGACAAGGCAGCGAATATGTTATTATGTTACAGGGAAGGAGGGTTGGGGAGAAAATAAGGAGAAAAAGAGAGAATGGTAGATATCTCAATGAAGAGCGAAGCGTTATCAAACTACAAGTAAGCCAGCGAACGATAAGTCGATAGTTCTGTAACCCGCCTAATAAACTAAGTACTTTTTTTTCAGGCGTGCAGTGGACTGTCATTAAAACAGAAACAGAAAAATAATAATAAGGCACCCATTTTGTTTGTCCAGGGGATGGCCCACGCCTGGTAAAGAGAATAAATAGAGAAAATAAAATAAAATAAAAAATAAAATAAAATAAAAAACAAACAAAGTACTAACAGTTACTGCTAACGAGAGTACTTGCTACTAACATCGGGAGGATGAAAGGCCCAACCCTGCCCTGCCAGTTACGGACTTGCGGGGTGGGTCTAGGGATTCGTCTAGCGATTCGTCTAGGGATTCGTCTAGGGATTGAGTTGAATCTTTTACACAACCTTGTTACATTTTCCTTGAGTTTCTTTGGACTATACTTTTTTCAAATTTTCATTTTGATTTCATCGTCGAGTTTCATGATCATCCCTTGTATCTTTGGTTTTATTCCTTCTTTCCATGTCGTATTGTTTGAATAAATCCGTTTTGAGTAGCATAAGACATACATGCACATGTACAATTATGAATAAAGTTACTACTGTATGACATACAATGTACAGTGCTGGCAACTGAAATCCGACCCCCTGAGCGGTGCGCTCGCATCGCAAAGACCCGAAATAGAGGCCGCTAGAAAGTGAACGCGCCGCCCAGGGGGTCGGATTTCAGTTGCCCGCACAGTTGCCAGTACAGTACATGTACAGTACCAGAAAAAAGTACAATGTGTCATGTACAAGTTCTGTTTTTTTTTCTGCCGAAATTACACGCCAAGCAAGGGCTGCTGGTGGATTCAGGATCAAAATCGCAGTTCTGATAGCATTTTGATTTGCCCATTCAATTCATTGACAGGCCCCGTTGTAATGTGACCAAGCCGCTTTTACGGGCAACAATATTATGAATATAAACGCAAGGTGTTGTAAGAGCAATTTTCTGAAAATAATGTTAAAACACGAAATATTAAAATGCATTATCACACCGTAGCCACTTTTATGGGCAAATTCCAATACAAGGCAATAAGAAAACGAGGATGAAGTTAACCTTTTAACCCAAAGAAAAGACAAAAAGATGTCAACAATAGAACTACAAATATAAAAAACAAACATCAGGTCATAAAAACTACTTTAAAACATAACCAAATGACAGCAAAGCGTGGAGAATGAGATTGACTTACAAAACAAAAGTAGTCCTACTATGCTTACAAAACAGAATCTACCTACACCACTGAGGAAGAAACATTAAATGATTGCAGTCTCACAAACACCGGCCTCTATCTAACGACCCATCAAACAATAACTCCTGAAATTCTTGACTGACTTTTTCTGGTAGGAGCTACGGCAGCCACGAAAACAGGTCACTGCCCAAGGGAGCAAAGTGAATGAGAGCAGGCACCGCAATCGACCCATAACCAGCGAGTAGGCCAAGTCACTGTGTTTATCGACATACTGGGCTGCAAGACACTTGAGAAAGCGGTCTGCCTCACGGCCACACATGCCATTCGTGGCGAAAACCAACGGGGTGAACGTGCCTCGGTCTATATTCACAACACGCGCTCCGTATTCCCGCTTTTTCATGCCTTCATGCTTTTGGAGATGGCGCTGGACTTCTGGACGCGACAGCAGGTTTGGCTTTGGGTGAGTCACCCGAACATCAAAAAAAGCCTCCTGCTGCGTGGACCAGAAACCCCGCGCCCTCACATCGAGGCGAGCTTCGGATTTCCTGTTGGCTGTACGATGGGGAAGATCCTCCCCATCAAATGGCGCTATTTTGTAATGGTTCTCACCTTCACCCATCAATTTATTGCAGTCATTTCAGTGATTTCCCACCCTCTCTCATGTTGACACAGTGGGTTGGTCAAAGACCATGATTGAGATAGGAGAGGTCCTGCCTGGGAGCGGTTTTTCCAGCCGTGCTGCTACCCACAGTCAACTGGGAACTTGTGGCCAGGTACATGGATGCAGCTAATGGGGTCGTTTTCGGCACTTGTGCCAGTGGTTGTGAGACTTATCCAATCACCCCCACAGTTTGGCGCTGCATCTGCCGCTAGGGTTTACGGGGTGCTAGCGGCCGTCGTGAGTTCCCTTTGGGAACGGACACGATAATTTTCTTTTTTTCTTTTTTTCTCATGTTGACAGTATTCACTCCAGCGAATAGTACAAACCCGGGAGGCGACAGGAGGCCTTCCGGGCCTGGCCGACTACAATTATATGATTGACTCTGGGCACTTTCTCCCACTTTTTTCTCAGATAAATATTAAATTTTGTTTCTTTTTCCTCAGATATCCCCGGTTCGTGTCCTGAGTTATAAAACTACTACCCCACGTACACGTACATGTATGCGAGTGTGCACTCCTCCATCGTGTAAGGATACTCGACTTGAAAGTGCGGCAGGTACATGTATGCTGTAGTTGAATTGAAGATCTACGGAATGTCAAAAAATAGGCTCAAAGAATTTAAAATTACAAGTACTTTCCAAGCTCGTTTGCTGCTGAATATAATCCAGGCGACCCTTTGCTGAACCAGGGCATGCATCTGATTGCCACTCAGATGCTCACGAGTCACCTCCTTAGGAAGACTTGGTGGATGTACATGATTGTACTTGGTATTAGATAATCCAATACTAGTGCAGTACTAGCATTAGATAAACTTTGTTTTTTGATCAACTTTGTTATAGAGAATAAAGTTCTCATGTTGTTGGGTTGACAGCATGAAACAAGGTGAAGGACACGGTGTTCGGAAACAGTGACCTGTCTACAACCATCCACGGTTGGTAGAGGCCCGGGTTCTGATCCTCATTATGCTAAGGGAGTTTTTAGACTTATCCTAACGTCAGTCGTGTATCGTTAGGAGAAGTCTAAAAACTCCCCCAGCATAATGAGGGCCAGAACCGGGTTCAACACCCATAATGGTTCAGATGGTACCAACGGACGGGGGCTCTACCAACCGTGGATGGTTGTAGTGAAGTCACTGTTTCCGAACACAATGTTCTCCACCTTGTTTCATGCTGTCAAACCAGCAACATGATTGTACTTGTACATCTGCATGTACAGTCGATCTACCCTTATAACGATAACTCCTATAACGATCATATTACCCTTATAACGATATTTTCTGTCAAACCAAATCACTCCACTGACTTTTGTATACAATGTCTTACCTCTACATTAGCATGGCGACGGCAGATTCTTGGCCTTGTCTATTTCCACCATGTATTCTCCCAATACCCCTCCTTGTTGTCTCACTTCCAGCTACCCTCTTCCCAAAGCAGTCGTCATCCTTCATCCATAATTCTTCCTAAAGCTGGCACCTTCTTTCGTAAATCAACCCTTTTTTCTTTGAGTGTTGCCTGGAATAAACTTCCTGAAGATATTCGTTCACTCTCTACAACAGCGAAATTTAGTATTGCTGTTCGTCGGTATCATTCGCAATCTATGTTTTCTTTGAAAGGTATTCCTGACTTTTGTCTAGGCTAACCACATCTATGATAGTTTCAATAGTTTGTATATATGTCAGTTATAGTAGTCCGCAATGCTGCTTTTCTTATTCTCATTATGATTAGCATGCAATGTACTACCCGAAGTACTGAATTTACTTCTTCTGTACTCTATATTCTAATGTATCTTCTACCTCTTCTCCCTTACGAACATACTTTCTCATTTTCCATACTTACTTAGGAGACTCCCTTCGATAGGCATCTATTTGCCTCTGGAGGATCCGTGAAATAAAAATCAATCAAATCTACATGTATTAGTTAGAGTGAAACCTGTCTAAGACGACCACTCAAGGGACCTTCAAATTCTGGTTTCTGTTACCAGGTGGTCTGCTTATCCAGGGTCATTTGACTTGAAATAGCATCTCTTGATTCTGGCTAAAGTGGTCTTCTGGGACAGGTGGTCGCCTTATCCGAGTGGTCGCCTTGACAGGTTTTACTGGACATGTACTTGACAATCAGCTCATGCGATAGCATTGCACGACACTGACACTATTGTTAGTTGTAGAAGGTCAGCACCGTCGGTCAGTGTCGTGCAATGTTATCGCATGAGCTGATTGTCAAGTAAATGGTGGTGTTAGTGGACATTATAGCATAACTTGCAGTTCCTTGGTCATTAAATTTCTGTAAAGCACCCCTGGATCTCCATCTGAGTCCACTGTGAATCTTACTTTGTGAACAGTTCTTCTGGAAACTGAAAATTACATGAAAATTAGGACAAAGAAACGTAAAACAGCTAATGACGCCCTCATGGGTGCATATTTGGAAGAGATTCTATTTGAAATGGGGTAGTGAAGGACTAAACACGTTTCTGCAGTGACTAAAGAACAACAATTGTATGATAGCCGAAATAGAAAGGCATAGAGTTCATCGTATTCATTACGAAGCACAGTATTTTACACTGGCAGCATACATGTACATGTAGATGCATTTGAAACTGATTGCGGGTATTGTTGAGACGTAGAGGAACATAGATACAAAAATACATACTTGTACAAGTACATGTACTCGTGCTGTTCGGTGTTGGTACGGGAAAGATAATAGAATGCACAGGAGAAGTTTTAGTAAAGATACAACTTGGCAAGTGGAGGCTGGTTAGAATGGATAGGATAGAGTGGATGGATACAAAAAAATTCGACGGGTTCACGTACCGGGCAGGTCAAGAACAAGGAGTCGTACAACTCCCGGGTCAAGAACCACCTTTCCGCTTCCGTGGGACGCCACCACCCCATGATCATGCGTCAAATGCGGCTCCTAAACGGCGGGGGAGGATAGAGTGGATGGATAGAAAGAATGTTCAAGCGATGGAGTAAGCTGTAGAAGGAACAGGAAACAAGTTGAGTGTTAAAAAGAAACGACAAAGAGTATACTGTACTAGTGCAAGTAGTAGATCTTTTCTGTACTTGTGTGCTCATATCTGCCCGTTAAAGTGGCTTCTTCAGTACACTTTAAAAAAAGTTGAGTGTTCTAACGCCGTGTTTCCAGCTCCAGGGTGACTACCAAAGACAAGTACAAACTTCTAGATTGATACAAAGATGGTAAAAGGGAGAGATAAGATAGCGGTCAGGGCATGGGGATGCAAACACCTAGTTCTGTTGGTTATTGCAAAGTTCTTCGATATGCAGAGTGGATGTGATGGTACCTGTACCAGGGTAGTAACCCAGGTAATAGTAGGATGTAGTGCATTGTGCTTGGATGTGTGTAGAGAAGGACAGCGGACCTGAAGTGTGAATATTACATATACCACTCACAACACCAGCATGTATTTGATAGCGGGCTGAATCAGTAGAGCTTCCACTTCTGATCGGGGCTGGGTCTGAACAGTCTCTGCCATTGATACGCACTGACACCTTCACACAATGCCAGGTATTTCCCCCATGGCGCAATCCAATAGAGGTTGTGTAAACCACTCTGATAACAGTGTCAGGTCTAGTCTTGTTGAACACGACTCCACTGAACGGGTTTATAGCACTACCCGATGTCTCCATTGTAAATGTCTTCCATGATACAATACCGCACTGAAAATTACATAGAAGTAGATTACAAAACATGCACATGATATGAGCATAGCTTACCCAATTTGTGGCACGCGGTAGTGATGTTACTTAGCCAGAACTATGTTGAGTACCCATGTTCACTGCTGTCAAACCCAGGAATAGGGTTTACTGGGTGTTAACGGCCGTCGTGAGTTCTATTTAGGGAACGGACACGATATTGTACTCTTTTGTTTTTAAAAGAACTTGTATTGTGGCAACACTGGCCAACACTCAGATGCACTGCTTCTTCACACAGCTGAACAATTCTTCTTTCTTCTCAACGTTTCGGTCACTTTGACCATCTCCAGGATGAAGTAGACACGGAAGCAAGGCAGACTTTAAAACAACAAGCTGGCTGGGTGGGTGCGGAATACAGCGAAAGAACAAAAAAAACTCCCAAGCGAAAAATGACACATGCCACATGATCACAATAGGGGTGCTAGTCATTACATCATGTGAGAGACTACGGTGGTGATATGTACAATTTGTGTAATAAGGCAGGGGGAGGGGGGGGGGGGGGCTCTCTCAAGCGATAAAAACCGGCAACAGCCACATGATTACCGTAGTGTGGACAGTGCTTCTTTTTCTTTTACTTAATTAAACTCAGGAATAGAGACAGGAATGAGCTACAGCTGCGAGACAGCTAAATCTGTACCTCTGACGTAATACCCAGTTATACGTAAGAGAAATTGGATGGACCAGCTTGCCAATCTCTCCTTGCCGTAGCCCATCATGAAACTGTTAAACACAAGCCAGGCAGACTGTGTGTAGGCAGTGGAGACGCCCAGTGGAACAGTTTACACAACAACTGCCAAACTGTCACAATCTTATTGTTATCCTCTTTGATATTATTAGGAAACCAGAGTCCACATGCCTCTGGTTTCCGGTTTCCTAATACTTTGATATTCTCCGTGAAGTCCAAATTTGAAATTGCAACTCTTTGATATTGTCACATATATGCACATATACATGTAGGTACAGTTTGTTCACTTCTTGCCACTGCCAGTTCGTTTCCTGTTGAGCGTCCTCATTGGTTCTGTAGTTGTGTTTCACTCTTTATAACCTGATTCATGGCATGTTTGGGTTGTCGTTCTCTTGGAATAATCATGGAACTAAGTTGGAACTGGTACACGCAGCAGTAACAACCACGAGACATTGTACAATTACAAATAAAGTTGTGGAAAAATTGTGGTTTTATCGAATATAGGTTACGACTACGACTGTGGAAAAAAGCTCGCAAAGCAGATCCCTCATTTCAACATTCACTAACAAAGGGCATGGTCTGCACCAGTTGACTCGGGAAAACAGAGCATGCCTTCAAAATGAGCTTGGAAGAAAATGTATATAAGTTTTTTTGCTGACATAATTAATCGAATCAACATATCATCCGGTCACCTGCCGGTATCAAGTCTACTCTGCATCTCATTTAAACCTGCTTCAAGCCTTCAACAGCCTTCGAACAAAGCTACCCCTCCTCAGTACAGTCCAATTCAGGCTCTCCTTTTTGGACTCTCTTGACTCTAATCTCGCCCTCTGAGGCTAGACACTTGAATCGATTAGACGCCGAGGTCTCGTAATTCATTTCCAGGACAGCACTTCTAAGTCTTATTGCGTGTATTTATTACAGTGCATGACAGAAATGCTTAACTAACCTTCTTTCTTTCCTCCTGCAGAGTAGCATTGATCGATGCAAGCTGCTCAACAGAATGTTGCTTCATTGACTTGAAATGTTGCTTCGTCTGTTGGAAAATATTTGAAAAATGATCAGATAGACACTAACCCTTTTCTCCGATGTGTTTCAAATATTCTTATTCATTTTTAATACTGGCATGAAGTACAGACACCTAGATAAATATGTGCATGTTCCAGTTCGAGGATTTAAGTTGCATAATAGACACTGTCATTCTGCAATATGTGAAAGGCCAAAGAGTATGTGAAAAAGTCGATGTTTGATGACTTGAGCCAGACTGTCATTTGGAACGTACATGACTGTATCTCTGGATATCTGGACAAAACTACAGAATGTGTGCTCTGACTGATTTCATTTTTTAGTTTGGCGTTAGGTAAAATCTTGTCCTGCCATCTGTGCAAGCAGTCGGGTAAGTTGTTGCCCTTTTGACCAATTGAGCATTAACTTCTGCTTGGAAGGATTGTGGCAACTCTGTTGTGACTCATGGTTGATTATGATCTCTTGGCCTGGATTTATGGAACGCACGGGTGCAGTGATAGAGATTTCCATCCAGCACATTATTGCAGTTCTGATCTACTCGAGTATCATCTGCTACAAGGAGCTGTGACCTATGCCCCTTGATCTGCTCTCAATAACAGAATCCCACGCAAGCCGTACGGCATGCACCTTGCATATGGAAACACTGCATTGCTTTCCTACCTTCTGTCCTTCCTCCGTCAAAGTGGCATTGATTGCAGCAAACTGTTGAGCAGAATGTAGCTGCATGTTCCTGAGGTGTTGCTTGGTCTGTGAGAAGGAGTTCAAGTAAAATGAATTAGACTCAAATATACCAGGAATTTGCTTGCCCAGAGCTAGCTTGACTACACACTCACTCAGGTTGTCTGAGCATGCCAAAGTGTTCATTGCTTAGCTGCCGATTTGGATCATTTCCATTAGCTGTAGCTCTGGGAAAAAGTACTCTTTAGCGTTATTCAATGCAGACACCGGGTCCTGTGGCTGCTCTTCCGAGAGGTCAAAAGTTACGCTACTCTCAAAATTCTATTGTCTCACGAACGACGTAGGTGTGGGATCTTCCCAAACAAAAATTGCGTGAGACTCGGTTGGAAACCGAGTTTTCCGCATCCGTAGGAACGACACCACCCTTCAAGGATCAAGGCGCAGATCCTCCGAAAACTCGACTGATATTAAATTAGCCTGAGTACTGTGAACTGATTCAACTTTCAACAGCAAAATCACGTGAGTTCAATGGAGACTTGGTCATGACATCACGAAGTCAAATCCTTACTGGACATCCTAGTGTTTTGAAACAACGACTTCCTACTGCGCTGTACATGTGTGCTCACGTATCACGTTTTTAGTAGCTGAGTCTGCGATTAAAGTTTCAGCCTGAGTGAATCTCACAAAGGTTTAAGATATTTTCAATCGGATAGGTTACATTTACACACACAGGCTTGGATGCCTTGTATTATGATACCAGTGAAATACTTCATTGTGGTACGCTTACCCTTTGCCCTTCCTCCTGCAGAGTGGTGTTGATTGATTCAAACTGCTTAGCAGAATGTTGCTGGATGTCCCTGAAGTGTTGCTTGGTCTGTGGGAAAGAATTGAATTAAAATCAAAGGAACTCACTTTCCCCCTGGGCTTGCATTTTATATCCAAACATATGCAGACCCTAAAATGTCTGTTTTGAACATCTACGGTCCAAATGAAGCCCAAACAAATAATTATGCGTTTCCTTAGACACTACGGGATGTTGAGACATTTTTGTACTTTATATATTCGATCATTCTATGGTTGGTCATTATGATCACCTCTGATCACCGCTGGATATTATATTTGCAATAAATGCTGTGTTGCATATGGCCACTTGGATTGGAATTCTTAGAACAGTGTTTTTGATAGCAGTTTTCCTTACCTTCTTCTCCTGTGCTTGCTGAGATAAGTTCAATGATGTCATCTCCTCCTTAATTGAGAGGAGTTTAACCTTGTTCTGCAAATACAGCGCAAACCAATATCCTGTGTCAAAGCAGCCAAAACAGTACTGCTACATATAGCTGTAGAGTGTCAGAAAAATTGTTGATTGTGATCAGATGTTTAAAAACCAAACGAGAAAGCCACAAGAGATTGTCACCTGAATTTCCATTTGATCCACCTTCGTCTTCTGCTGGACAAATATGGTTGTCAGCACTTTCATGTCGGAGAGTAGTTTATTGATTTGGAGATCCCTTGCTTCCAGTTTCTCTTCCAGCTGCTTGTTGTAGGTTTTAACCGCTTCGATTTGGTAGCATAGCTCGCTGTTTGCAGATGATCCGCACAGATCAACTAGAACAGGTGAAAGCAGAGCAAAATCAACTGTTATCTCGGGTCCGTCCGTAATTATTCATCACTGCTACCAAACGAAACAAATTGCATTTAGGTGTGTGTAGGACTGCTGTGTCCCTGTGTGCGTACCCAGTAGGAATCAACAGACTTTTAGTCCGACTGAATGTGAAATGGTATGCAGCTTTAAAAGCATCCAAAAGTGATATCGGTATGTTATGTCTATGGAGCTGGAAACCACCACATTGCCCGGTTCAGACCTTTCCAATGATCCTCATATCTAGGAGGTCCAACAAGGTATGGAAAATGAGGTTCGATTTTGTTCCAAGACGTGAATGCAGTTTTTGAAACAAGGTTAAGTGCGTTGACAACCCAGTCGCCCTGGAAATACGAGGCCAACAGTGAACATGTCTCAACCCTTTCAGTAAAAGTCAAAGAAGATTCTCCCCCCTGGTGCCCAACGTCGACCTCAGGACATACAGCCCACCCGCGTGTCTGCTCAGCCTACGCACCCACACCAGCTATCGACTAACCTGCCAGCACGCACCCGAAACAGCTGTCTCCGCGCATTTCCTGCCAGCGCTGTGCAGACATGGAATGCTCTGCCCCAAAGCATACTGCTGAGACCCCCACACCTGGAGGGCCTGCAAGCCTTTAAGTGCCGTGTCCACCGTCACCTCCAGCTGCACCACTGGAGCTGGGCGACTGAGAGCCTCTAGCAGACCTCCCACACCCACCTCAGCCCTAGTGCACACACCGCGTCTGAGACAGTGTCCTTATTGAAGTTTTTTCGCTAGCTTATATACTCTCCCTCGCTCTATGTTGCGGCACAGTAGCTCCCTTGTTCATGTAATAGCTGGCCTAATGTAACAATTATGACTTGCTGGCCAAATAGCTGAGGCTGCAGTCACCTCACCAATCATCTCATATTTTCAATGTTCCTTTTATTTTACTTTAACAATTTCGCAAACTCACTCTCCCTCCCTCTCTCTCTCTCTCTCTCTCTCTCTCTCTCTCTCTCCTCCCCCTCTCTCTCTCTCTCTCTCTCTCTCTCTCTCTCTCTCTCTCTCTCTCTCTCTCTCTCTCTCTCTCTCTCTCTCTCTCTCTCTCTCTCTCTCTCTCTCTCTCTCTCTCTCTCTCTCTCTCTCTCTCTCTCTCTCTCTCTCTCGCTCTCTCCCGCTCTCTCCCACTCTCTCTCTCTCTCTCTCTCTCTCTCTCTCTCTCTCTCTCTCTCTCTCTCTCTCTCTCTCGCTCTCTCCCGCTCTCTCTCTCTCTCTTTCTCTCTTTCTCTCTCTCTCTCTCTCTCTCTCTTCTCTCTCTCTCTCTCTCTCTCTCTCTCTCTCTCTCTCTCTCTCTCTCTCTCTCTCTCTCTCTCTCTCTCTCTCTCTCTCTCTCTCTCTCTCTCTCTCTCTCTCTCTCTCTCTCTCGCTCTCTCCCGCTCTCTCCCACTCTCTCTCTCTCTCTCTCTCTCTCTCTCTCTCTCTCTCTCTCTCTCTCTCTCTCTCTCTCTCTCTCTCTCTCTCTCTCGCTCTCTCCCGCTCTCTCTCTCTCTCTCTCTCTCTTTCTCTCTTTCTCTCTCTCTCTCTCTCTCTCTCTTTCTCTCTCTCTCTCTCTCTCTCTCTCTCTCTCTCTCTCTCTCTCTCTCTCTCTCTCTTTCTCTCTCTCTCTCTCTCTCTCTCTCTCTCTCTCTCTCTCTCTCTCTCTCTCTCTCTCTCTCTCTCTCTCTCTCTCTCTCTCTCTCTCTCTCTCTCGCTCTCCCTCCCCACCCACTCTTGGTGCGTCTAGTGGCTATGAAGTCGAGACCCTAGGTCGGCGGAGCTCCCTAAACCTCACCACCACTGCCACGATTCAGGTTGTGCGTGCTTCCCCTAGCTGCATCTCATGTTTGGCATTAAGTGGTCTTTGTAAAAAAAAAAAAAAAAAAAAAAAAAAGTCAGTTACCATGCTCAAAAGGAAATCCCGGTTACATTTTACTTTAAGTCCATTTGGCACATCTCTACTCACAGATAGTGCAGTTCAAGGGTTTCATGATCCTCAGAAAGGAAAAGAACGAAATATAAAGATGATTGTTGGTGGATGCTTCCTGTCGCGAATATTCATGGGTATCTCTGTAGTCTGTTCATGAATATTGAACTTCTGTGTTTCTGTCCTTGCTCGACTCAAAAACACACTGTACGTATGCGGTTTTCCTAGACCTGTGAAATTATACTGCATTCGATGCCATCAATAGTGTGACACTTACCTTGGCAGTTAGTGCCATCTCCCTTGTACCCAGATTGACAGTGACAAGAGTATGATCCAACCAGTGTTATTACACATTGCATGTTCATTGCACTGATGTACACCATCTGTACATTCATCCTAGGTCTGGACAGAGAATGTGAATGAAGGGAAAAGTTCGGGTATTCAACCAGTGCAATATACACATGACCATGCTGGGAGAAAGCATTGTGGTCGTAAAAACTGCTATTACTAGCCACCGTTCAGTTTCGGCAGTAGGAGATAAATTGAAATCAAATTCGGACGAATAAGCAAAAGCATAATCATAAGCGAAGCTGTGGACCCATCATACTGCTGCTACACTTCAACTGAACGCAGAAATATTTTGAATTACTCCACACAATGTACTGTTTCACTGGCACTAGCCACATCGCAATTACTGCAGCTAACTAACACAAATAAAAGGGGTTTGTCAACTGACAACCGCTCTATTTAGTTGCTATTCACTCTTTAGATGAACATTATTTTATTAATGATGTCGAAAAATCATGAGCGGTTGTCAGCTGACAAACCTCCTTTTATTTACAATGCAGTTGCGTGATGTCCACCACTTTCTGAACTAACTAACACAAGTTTAACTTCATTTGCTCTCTCTCTTTCTCTCTACATAATTATAATAACGACAATAATATTTTGGACAAAAAACTATCCGTATGTGTGTCAGTTTATAGCGGAATCCGACAACAGTCTTGCTTTCAAAGGATTTTGTTACAGTAGACAATGCTCAGTTATCATAGAGGAAAACTGGAGCAGTTGAATGGAATTCAACGGGACTGCAGAGTATGACATTCCATGACGCAGTAGGAAATACGAAGTTTGCTTCAATGTTGCCAGGACAAGTATGAATGAGGCTGCCTCCAATTTTAGCCATAATACGCCCATCAATGTGCCTTTACTTGGCCTCATTGCCGGATGTGCCCAGTGAGTGGTTGTTATACTGAATTTGGCTTCGATTAGTTGCCAAGACATGCTCCCCGGTAACTCACCATTACACAAGCGTCCATCGGCTTTGAATCCCGTGTTGCACTCACACCCAAATGATCCATAACTGTTAATGCAAAATGCTACAGCTGGTTGGTCACAGTTGTTCAAGTCTGGTTGACTACACTCATCTATGTCTGCACGTACATGCAGTAGGGACAAACAGACAAATAGAAAGATTTACACACAAGGTTAGTTCATAATGCTTACTGACGAGCTGAGGTGCTAATTACTTGCGAAATGTCAGAAGACACAAGTTGGCAATGGAAAAGGCTACTTATTTACTGTTCAACGCTGAGTTCCATTGAAATTCACCAAACGGCTGCTGTATTAGCTCACTTATGAAATGAAAATACACCAATAGCCTTACATTCATAATATCTTCCTTTGTAGTCCAACTCTCAATGTGATGACGATCTCTTATGATTATCACATAAAAACGACGTTCAAATCGTTTAAAAACACTATTGTTAAATTGTTCTCGTGGTATGAGTGAGCTCACTTTGCTTTCATCCATGTTTACATTAAATTTTGTGTTGCTTTTGTTGTACATAATGAAGCGAAGCCATTTACAAAGGGTTTTCGCCTCTTTTTCAATGATCCTGCATGACACTCACCTGCATCACACCTCCTTCCAGTCAGTCCAGCTGGACAAACACAATTAGCAAATTGCTGTGTAGTGTTGAACACACATTCTCCAGAGACTGAGCAAGGTAGACGCCTTGTTAAGTCAGCTGTGGGGCACTCTGGCGTTCGATCTGGATACAATTTGAGTGAAGGCAGAGCAGATGTCAGGAAAGAAAATTAGCAAACTCTGCGGCATTTCCAAATTGATGAAACAGCAATACTGAACCTGGGAGAAGGCAGTGCATTTCCCCTGGTTTTCATTGTGCTATCCTGAAAATGTCCTATGCATTCGTTCTGATGTCTTCAGTCATTATCGGAGTCTTATATCCTCTAATCAGAAGTGATTTTCCTTATTTTGACTTAACTCATGCATTTGTGATCGTGATAATCCTCTCGAAATTTTCAGCAGCAAGCACTTCCGCCCGTACAGTAGCACCCTCCCTTAGCTCCTGTCAAGTTGTATTTCTCGCGAAATATTTTCATTTGCAAATATGGCATCGGGTGTGTTCTTTATTGTCGCTTCTTTTCCTGGCTTCTTCAGTCAGTTTTGAGTCTCACCAGTGGCCCTGCCCTCCCACCCTTCATTTCTGTGCATATTATCATTGCTTTTAACACTGTTTGCAGTGATGTGCTTGCCATGCCTACATGATGCCTAATCACCATTGGGGATATATTGATTTTAAATAGGTAAGGTCATGTTGCAAGTTTTTAAGCTCCGCTTACTTTAGGTCCCTGTGGCAGAGAACTTGATCTGGACACACTAGGAATATGGCATTGAATATGGACATCGACCTCGCCTTGCTGACTTTCGAAGAGCTGCGGCATCTCGCCAAACAACATCCTATTGACGGAGCCGAGTCAAAGAGCCGAGTTGATCTTGTGGTTTCCCTAAGACAAGCTGGTGTGGGTGTAACCCCGATCCAGGCCAATGAGGTCAGTACTAGTAGTAGTCTGAAGTCTCTAAACGAGCTTGAATGTGTAGTGATAGAGCTAAGAGAGCAACTTGAGCAAGCGAAGCATGATAATGCCATTGTTTCTTCACTTCGGGATGAGGTTTCCAGCCAAAAATTGGAAGTACTAGAGCTGAGGAACTTCACTACAGGCGCACTTTCTCAAACTGCCAATGACACCCACAACCGTCGCACAAGTGCTAACGAAGTTACCGTAGAGCCCTCCCTGTATGAAACTGACACATCCATCACCACTGCACCGCAATCACAGCACACCTCCACATCGCAGCATGCACGCTCAAGTTCAAATGACCGTACTACCGGTATGCACTCGCAACCACGTGCCGCTTCCCAGTCCAGCGACACTACTCGTGCAGCACCTAGACCTGCTGGCAACGGTCACGTCACTACGGACAGCAGTTCCCGCAACAAATCAGATGGACAGAGCTCTTGGGTCGATGTTGTACGACGTCGGGTCACATCTCAAGCCTATGCCCTCGGACGAAACAAACCCTGTAGTCCTGACAGGTGTCGAAAAGGTGGACAAAGCGATATTCTATGTAGAAAACGTCCACATGGGCTGCAGTGCCGACTCCATCAAGGATTGGTGTCAAGAGCGTGCAGTGGATGTGCTCAACTGCACCATCTTGGAATCCCGCACCTTCGGAACAGCTTACGCCAGAGTGACATTCCCAGCCTCAGCTACGGAAAAGGTACTGGGTGACGGATTCTGGCCTGCAACTATCCAGCACACCGTAAGAAAGTGGCGGTTTGCAGATTCAAATACGAACAAACCAGGTAAAACCTCCACGTCGTCAGAATGATGGCTTCCGCACCGCTGAGCGCCCAGGCCTTCCCATATTTTCCTAAGACTCAACATAACATCACTATTGTTACGATTAATTGTCGCTCCGTGTCGAACAAAATCCCTGAACTCCATGCATTGTGTCGATCCAACACACCGACTATCCTATGTCTGACAGAAACCTGGCTCTGCCAGATACATATGCTCAGTGTACCCGGTTATACGTGCTTCCGTCGAGATAGGCCAATACCAGCGAACCAAAGGGCCCAGTTCCGAGGTTATGGTGGTGTTGCCATCCTTGTACGAGATGGGACATTTTTGCATGCAGCCCAGCGCTCAGACCGTGACTCTCCCCAATGCGAAACATATGGGTTGAGCTTGGACTTCCTGCAGACCTGGGTGCTAATCCTATACTCATTGGCTGTCAGTATCGCCCTCCTTCGCAATCCCTACCTGAACTTACCTCATTTTGTGACATGATGACGGATACCCTACGGGCTGTAGACCTCTCATCCGTTGATATATTCCTCGCTGGTGACTACAATGCTCACAACTCTGACTGGTGGAGCGGTGACGCTACATCACGCGCTGGAAAGGAACTTTCGCATATATTCTCCAGCTTCGGTCTCTCCCAGCTGGTAGATTTTCCCACTCACACGTCTCCTAACGGACCCTGTCGTGCCTAGACTTGCTCGCTACCAATCGTCCTCAATCAGTATTCTCTGTCGACGACGCTTGGTGCGTCCGACCATTCACAGGTAGCTACCACCCTTTTCTACAGAACTGTAACCCGAATGCCTGCAAAGGAAGTACCATGCTATCCTGCCCGTAGTTCCCCAGCCACTCCATGCAATTTTGCGCAAGTGCCACCTTCTGTCTGGGTAGCAGTAAATATGTACCTTTCCTCGCTCATCTGGTATGATCTCATGGACACACCAGATGTCGACGACGCATTAGCCAGATTCTCCTCTACCTTGAATGATGCATTTTCCCACTACCTGTCGCCTTATTGGAAAATCTCTTCCTCCACCCAGCGAGCTGTATCTAGGAAATATCCTCCGTGGGTTAATCGAGATTTAGTACTTGCCATCAAGTTGAAGTACGAACTCTACAGCCGATATAGGAAGTTCCCAACCCCAGCTAACCAGTCTGCCTTCAAAGTTCAGCGTAACAGAGTACGAAACTTATCTCGATCTCTTCACCGTGACTATTTGGCATCTATACAGGCCAGCATGGCGTCAGGTAACCTTAACATGTACCAGTTTGTTCGTTCTCAGCGGAATCGTCAGCAGGATCGTGGCCTTCCTCACCTCATTGATGAAGGCGGTCATCCAGTTTCTGGCAGTTTCGACAAGGCTACAGTCCTCAACCAGCAGTTCGCCTCCGTTGCTGTGCCGGATGATCCGTCGTTATCACTTCCAGCTCTTCGTGCCCACAGCCAACTTCATGAAACATTTGTTCAGGTCATCACCACAACTTCGGATGTTAGAAAGGCTATCACCCGACTAAAGTCTCGCCGCAGTCCTGGCTTGGACACCATTACGAATGATGTCCTGAAGAAACTTGCCCCGTCGATTTCGTACCCCCTCTGCCGTATTTTTAATGTGTCCTTTTCGACGGGTAAATTTCCAGCAGCATGGAAACTCGCGAAGGTTGTTCTGGTTTACAAGAGCAAAGGCTCCAAGTCACAAGCCAGCAATTACCGTCCTATCTCCTTGTTGTCCTGTGTATCGAAACTATGTGAGCGATTATTCTTTGATACGCTTTATGCTCATGTGTCGCCGGCCCTTGCCCCAGTCCAATCTGGTTTTCAACGAGGAGACTCAACCACCATGCAGCTGACACGCCTTGTGCAGGACATTGTGGCCCTTCGTCATGACCACCAACATGTTGGCATGTGTCTTTTCGACCTAGCCAAGGCGTTTGACACAGTATGGTTCCGTGGACTCCTAGCTAAATTATCTGCGATGTACAATGTTTCCGGAGCGTCTCTGGCGTGGATTACGGACTACCTAACAGATAGAACGCAATCAGTGTCAGTCGAAGGGGTACTCTCAGACCCACTGCCTGTGAAGTCGGGAGTCCCCCAGGGATCTATACTGGGGCCTCTACTATTCTTGTTGTGTATAAACGATCTACCTGACTGTATAGATGGTTTGTCACTATTTGCTGATGACACAGCCCTCATTCAGTTTGACGCTGACATTGCAAACCTGTGTATGAAGCTTCAGACTGGAATCAATGTTGTTCATGAATGGATGTTGTCATGGCGTCTGAAACCCAATATCTTGAAAACAGAAATAGTCTTTCTCCCTCAAATAGACCACCCTCCTACATTTACCCTTCCCGGACTTGGTTCGGCTATTAATATTACTATTGTAGATACGCACAGGCATTTGGGTGTTGTATTTGACTCGCAATTGTCCTGGAATTCTCACGTAGATTTTGTATGCAACAAAGTTAGCAAATCTGTAGGTTGCCTGATGTCTCACTGCTCCCACTTGTCTCCCGAATGCATTCGTCTCTTCTATAAATACTACCTCCTTCCTATCTTTCTGTACGGCGCCACTGCTTGGCATTCCCTGCTTAGTAAATCTGCTGTACAGACACTAGAAATACATCATAAACGTGTGTTGAAAATTATTTTTCGTAAACCCACTCTTTTCCCCTCTACTGAGCTATATAGTTTGGCCTCCACCAGCCCCATCTCTATCCTGTCGCAGAGACAGTCATGCGTTCTGGTCCATCGTATTAAACTCAACATTGTCCCTGAACATCTCACCAAGTATAATTGGTTTACTTTCGCACGGGACACTCGCAATGGCATAGCTATAAGTTCAAAGCTGCCCTCAGGAAATTTACAGCTGACTATGCTTATGCAATCAACGGAATTCCGCCACCTTGCAGTTGATTTTCCCCATTTCTCTCCTCATCAATCCCTACTTCTCTTTGTGCATACATCTACATCTACTGTTCTTTCAATCAAATGAACCCCTCGATAGGCACATTGCCTTTGGGTCATTTCATAATAATAAATAAATAAATAGTACTTCCCAGAGCTTTGTCAACTATGTTTACCAAATCTCCTATCTTCTCTGCATACTCGTATTGGCTCAAGCTGCCCATGGAAATGAAGACAATATCCAATATTAGACAGTTCATAGACCATGTTAAATGTCATGCCACGTTGTAGGCTCACTTGCCTCTTTTGCTAGCTTATCTCGCCGCTCTCCACCATGGTCAACATAGTGATACATTTCACCCCGCTGATGCATTATTTTCTTCCGATTATCATCTTTTTTCCTTCATTCTTTTTTTTTTTTCTTCTCTTGCCATGGCTGGCTAACGCCCCCTCCTTTGCATTGGCTTCTGCCATTGGACGGTGAAATAATAATAATAATAATAATAATAATAATTTGAAACTCGGATGTTGAGCCATAAATATATGTAAAAGAGAAAAGGACATATGGATACGAGTTTAGAGTAACTCTCCATCACTGTAACATGATACTATATACAGTCAGAAAGTGCAATAACTAGGCACAAAACTGACAGAGTACTGAGACATTCGACGTCCTGACACCTAACTTTAACACATCTCCGTAGCGCTAACCAACAGCCTTCCAACTTGGAAGGTTCAAGGTTATGGAAAGACCAAAGAGGGGAAGGCAAGCGCAACGAAAACGAGCAAAAGCTACAGTCCCAACGGAACAAAGAATGTCGATTGTTACTGGACGATGACGAGACCAGTACGATATTTGACAAAGCGGTCTAACTACAATTCGAAGCAGCAAAGCAGCACACCACCCAACTTGGGTGGGTCATAAATATCAAAGATAAGTAAAGAAAGGGAAGCTTTGCGAAAACGAATTGTACAAGCCGAAAGCCAAACTCCCACAGTACTCCTCATGCATGACATTGTGATGGACTAGTTGACTACAAAACAAGTTGTTTCACACGACGTACGTTTCGCCGCATGGTTCGTGACGGCTCATCAGGTGTGCAATTTGAAACTCGGATGTTGAGCCATAAATATATGTAAAAGAGAAAAGGACATATGGATACGAGTTTAGAGTAACTCTCCATCACTGTAACATGATACTATATACAGTCAGAAAGTGCAATAACTAGGCACAAAACTGACAGAGTACTGAGACATTCGACGTCGAATAATAATAATACTCAAACCAGTTACAATAATAATAATAATAATAATAATAATGTAGAAGAGAAAAGGACATATGGATACGAGTTAAGAGTAACTCTCCATCACTGTAACATGATACTATATACAGTCAGAAAGTGCAATAACTAGGCACAAAACTGACAGAGTACTGAGACATTCGACGTCCTGACACCTAGCTTCAACACATCTCCGTAGCGCTAACCGACAGCCTTCCAACTTGGAAGGTTCAAGGTTATGGAAAGACAGTGATGGAGAGTTACTCTTAACTCGTATCCATATGTCCTTTTCTCTTCTACATTTATTTATGGCTCAACATCCGAGTTTCAAATAATAATAATAATAATAATAATATGAAACTCGGATGTTGAGCCATAAATAAATGTAGAAGAGAAAAGGACATATGGATACGAGTTAAGAGTAACTCTCCATCACTGTAACATGATACTTTATACAGTCAGAAAGTGCAATAACTAGGCACAAAACTGACAGAGTACTGAAACATTCGACGTCCTGACACCTAGCTTCAACACATCTCCATAGCGCTAACCGACAGCCTTCCAACTTGGAAGGTTCAAGGTTATGGAAAGACCAAAGAGGGGAAGGCTAGTTATTGCACTTTCTGACTGTATAAAGTATCATGTTACAGTGATGGAGAGTTACTCTTAACTCGTATCCATATGTCCTTTTCTCTTCTACAATAATAATAATAATAATTTGAAAGTAGGACGGAGGCAGAAAATATTACAAAAAAAGTATTGTCTACGCATGCATCTACGCAAGAGTCACCACCAGCCAATTAGGACATGTGTCAAAGTATTGAACGTTTTCGTTCCCTTCTTGTCAAAATACTACAGGGAATGATGGAAATAAGCTAAAAGACTACAACTATAAGGAAAAGAAGTTCAGAAATATATCACTCCAATTATGTGTAGAAGTGACACGAAAAAAATAGATGTGAAGAATCAAGAAAACAGCATGCAAATCCAATAAGTGACAAAAACGTAGTGACAAGAAAAAGAGAGAAACATCAAGAGATCTATTTCGCACCTTCACGACGAACAGTGCCAAACAACTGTAAAGACAACACATTCTCCTTCTGAACACAAAGCTCAGGGTCTAACTTACGTATGTACAAAGCTTCCAACACGGCAAGATGTAACAAAGACCTACCACGCGACAAAACAGAGAATACATCATCGGAGTACCACTCACGACAACTAGCAGTGCCCGTTTCTCTCTTTTTCTTGTCACTACGTTTTTGTCACTTATTGGATTTGCATGCTGTTTTCTTGATTCTTCACATCTATTTTTTTCGTGTCACTTCTACACATAATTGGAGTGATATATTTCTGAACTTCTCGCTCCACATATACTGGCATACACAGAGACATAGACAGCAATAGCGACAACACACAAAGTGAAGGGTAGTTGGCCGCAGCCAGATGTGAACCGGATAACGAGTGAGGTATGGAAGCAAGCAAGGACTGAGAACAGAGTGTCTCAGATAGAATAGTCGTGCCAGTGGATAGCAGAAATAGGCCATGATGCAGAACCACTTGGGACCGTCAGATTAATTTTCCTGGACCGAGCCAGCCGGGAAAAAACCCTCGCGCCGACGGACGCATTTGTGAGGGAAAAAACCGGGTGTATATCCCCAATGGCGATTAGGCATCATGTAGGCCTGGCAAGCACATCACGGCAAACAGTGATAAAAAGCATTGATAATATGCACAGAAATAAAGGGTGGGAGGGCAGGGACACTGGTGAGACTCAAAACTGACTGAAGAAGTCAGGAAAAGAAGCGACAACAAAGAACACACCAGATGCCATATTTGCAACTGAAAATATTTCGCGAGAACTCATTTCTCGCCTATCTCGCTGCGCTCGGCCGGCGAGAAATACAACTTCTCGCTCCACATATACTGGCATACACAGAGACATAGACAGCAATAGCGACAACACACAAAGTGAAGGGTAGTTGGCCGCAGCCAGATGTGACTCAGAAAAAGCATAGCGCGGCGAAAACGAGAAAGAAGGCAGAGAGATGCAAACAAGACAAGAAGACTGACAGAGAGAGAGTACGGGACAAAACGAGTAGGCTATGACCTACACAAAGTTTCTCAAAGTCCAAGGATCTAGCACCCTGATCTGGTGCAGTACGTCCCAGTTCAGTGCTGAGGAACCACCCACCAAACTGAGTGTGAGAGCATGTAGGGTGTCTATAGTAGTTCAGGTGTCAGGAACTGGCCAGCCAGGACTTGATAGTGATACGTCCACGCAGTGCGCATGAACAAGGCATCTGATTCTCAACCCTGACTGAACAGCAGGTGGCGACTATAAAGATCACAGATAGCAGATATATCGGTTCAGTTTGGGCTGCACAGGATCAATCCTCCCATAGCCAACCCCTGAAGTACTCTAAAGCAGGGAGTAGAGAAGAGAAAGGAGAAAGAACAAGCAGGAAAAGCACACAGAACAGCAGAGTAAGTCATCTGGAAGCAAGAATCATGTACAGGGTTGTACCACGAACAGACTCGGGACAAGTGAAACCCGATAGGGCCGGCATGATTAAAATGCACAGCATAAAATTGTTGGAATTAATCCAGGAATATTCACACAGTGCCGCCAGGCCTCACACAGAACACACAGAGCCAATGCAAGAATCCAGTAAGTTAGGCCTGATCCGAATTTGCAAAGTGCATGCAACACCTGTCCAATCGGACTGGTACAGTTGGCCTATTTTGACTTCGCACAGTAGAGAATGAACTCCTCCAGTAAGACATTTTTACTGGGATACAGCTGATACCACACAGTATGCAAGGCATTCCTCTAATAGGACAGATAATGAAACTGGAACTCAATATTTAACTCTCGGTGACCGAAACGTATAGCCGGTAAGATCATTCTACTGGGACCCGTCCAACATGGTACGTGGCGAACGCATTCATTCATCGAGACGATCAGACAGACTCAACTGACATCGCACATTGCACAATACGTCAACTACATGTAGTAAGCCATTGATATTGGGAGGTGGCGGACATTACACAGTACCCAATGCACCCATAGAGACTGTTATGCGGGGACCCGTCTGACATTGTATAGTACACAATCTGACGAGCGAATAAGACTGGAATGAACTCCTCCAGTAAGACATTTTGACTAGGACACAACTGACCCCACGCAGTATGCAAGCACTCCTCCAATGAGACACAATGATACTGGAAATCGACATTATAACTTTCGGTAAACAATACGTACATCCGGTAAGACCATTCTACTGGGACTCAACCCAACATTGTACGTGGCGTAATGCACTCATTCTTTGACACAATCGTACAGAGACACAACTGACATCGTACATTGCACAATACGTCAACTAGTAAGACATTGATATTGGGAGGTGGCGGACACTGCCGGGCTGTAAGTGCCTTACGTTGTACGGTGCATAAGGCGCTCATCCAGTGAGACAGTTATATGGGCACTCATCTGGCGTCGCACAGTGTAGAACACACTCATCCAGGGCGACAGATCTAGAGGGGTTCGGCTGGCATTGGACAGTGCACAATGCACTCTTCCGGTAAGACAGTCATACCGGGCCTCCACCGTCATCTCGCAGTGCACAATGCACTCTTCCAGTAAGACAGTTATACTGGGGATCCCCCGTCATCTCGCAGCGCACAATGCACTCTTCCAGTAAGACAGTTATACTGGGAATCCTCCATCATCTCGCAGTGCACAATGCACTCTTCCAGTAAGACAGTTATACTGGGAATCCTCCGTCATCTCGCAGGGCACAATGCACTCTTCCAGTAAGACAGTTATACTGGGAATCCTCCATCATCTCGCAGTGCACAATGCACTCTTCCAGTAAGACAGTTATACTGGGCATCCACCGTCACCTCGCAGAGCACAATGCACTCTTCCAGTCAGACATACCGGGATCCGTTGGACATCGCACAGCTCCCGATGCACTCCTTCGGTGAGACAGCTCTATCGGGTCTCATATGACATTGCACAGCGCATAATGTGCTCGTCAATTCAGACAGTTACACCAGGAATCAACACTGACACTCAGCGCACAATGTACTCATCACGTAAGACAGGTCTGGGATAGCACATCGCACGATGCGTTCATCCAGTAAGACAGTTACACCAGGACATGTCCACCAACACGCTATGCGAAGTACACTCATCCAGAAACACAGTTTTACCACACAGCGCATAATGTGCTTGTCAATTAGGACAGTTACACCAGGAATCATAGCCGACACTCAGTGCACGATGCACTCATCAGGCAGGACCGATCTAACATAGCACAATGCACAATGCGTTCAGTAAGACAGATACAGCAGGACTTGTCCGCCCGCACAGTATGCGCAGCACACTCATTCCGAAACACAGTTATGCCACCAGCACACAGTGTGCCATACGCGCATTTACTAAAGTTAGCTTCGCATAGGCGAATTTGTAGATTCATCCACTGACGCACAAATAATGCACCGACGCTGTACAATGGATATACTGGAAGCGGAACTAGTGTAGTACCCTACCCCGCATAAAGTACTGGAATTGCAAACATTGCCTGTAGGGGTGTAAAGCAATCGAATGATTACTATAATCTGGAGCTTATTCGATTGTACAACAATTTACTACGCCTGACCACCTACACGTAAGAAAGCACTTTATACCACCATATACAAATCCGGCATGGTTGGCGGCGCTACTCTCGTTACCGAATGATTTGGTGCGTGCCAGAGGAAGAGAAAGGGAGAGACAATCTCCATTATAATAGGATGCTTGGAGTACAGAAACAAGTAATTTCATTCACGACCGCAACAAAGCCCGAACGGAGGTGACTGGAGTACACTATGGCACCAATCTGTTAAACCTATGAGAAAAAGCATACAATAAATTCAACTTATCTGGATAGTCACTGGCGGCAGCCACGATCCGTCATCTGGCCTCGTGATCTCGCGGCTGGCGATGGCTGATTGCCCAGTGGCAGCTGCGGCTGTAGGCTACTGTAGGTACTGCAGTGGTCATTGATTTTGCTGGAGATGGCATCATGGTTTCTTCGTCCTGCCTGTTTTGCGTGCAGCGTAATCATCAGCATCAAATCATCACCACAACATTCCAAACTTTTCCTCCGCAATTCTCAGAAGTTTGTTTCATGTGTATCTCAGGCTCGCGCGATGGTCGATGGATGACATAGCGCCTTGCTGGTGTCTTGCACGGACATGGGGCTTGGCGCCGTCCTTGGTTGCGAACAGTTCGATTTTTTGTTCACACTGTTGTTCGCAGCATTTTTGGCTACGAGTATGAGCGAGGGTTTTGTTTGCTGGAGTTTGGGGTTGAGGCCCGTTCCAGACAATGTCCTCAGCTCCTGGATCTTGTCCTGTGGGTGTTGCGGTTTCAACTGCTGGCTTTCCACGGGACGTGTCAGATTCCGTCACGCAGGGGACCTGTACGCCTCGGATGTTGGTCAGTTGGATGGCGAAGACGGCGATTCGGGGGACTCGGGGGTAGCCGACGACGATGTGATCGGAGGGGATGTCAAAGGCGCTGAGAAAGAAGCATTATGGTCGAGGGATCCTGACAAAGAAGTTCGTTCAAGGAAAATCCTACGGAGATCGAAAAAACCGGTCCACACTGGTGAGACTCAAAACTGACTGAAGAAGTCAGGAAAAGAAGCGACAACAAAGAACACACCAGATGCCATATTTGCAACTGAAAATATTTCGCGAGAACTCATTTCTCGCCTATCTCGCTGCGCTCGGCCGGCGAGAAATACAACTTCTTTTCCTTATAGTTGTAGTCTTTTAGCTTATTTCCATCATTCCCTGTAGTATTTTGACAAGAAGGGAACGAAAACGTTCAATACTTTGACACATGTCCTAATTGGCTGGTGGTGACTCTTGCGTAGATGCATGCGTAGACAATACTTTTTTTGTAATAATAATAATAATAATAATAATAATAATAATGTAGAAGAGAAAAGGACATATCGATACGAGTTAAGAGTAACTCTCCATCACTGTAACATGATACTATATACAGTCAGAAAGTGCAATAACTAGGCACAAAACTGACAGAGTACTGAAACATTCGACGTCCTGACACCTAGCTTCAACACACCTCCGTAGCGCTAACCGACAGCCTTCCAACTTGGAAGGTTCAAGGTTATGGAAAGACCAAAGAGGGGAAGGCAAGCGCAACGAAAATGAAATGTCGGTTAGCGCTACGGAGGTGTGTTGAAGCTAGGTGTCAGGACGTCGAATGTTTCAGTACTCTGTCAGTTTTGTGCCTAGTTATTGCACTTTCTGACTGTATATAGTATCATGTTACAGTGATGGAGAGTTACTCTTAACTCGTATCGATATGTCCTTTTCTCTTCTACATTTATTTATGGCTCAACATCCGAGTTTCAAATAATAATAATAATAATAATTAAAAATTCGACGAGGAGACAATAATTTTAATATGGCAATAAGTAGGACGAGCTGAAGCGACATGTGGACTACTTTATTAACAATGTAAGCGATGGAGACGATGCAAGAAACAACCTAAAGGGTAAGGAAAAATACATGTAAGAAGAAAAAGGGCAATGGAAAAAAAAAGATGATTCGAACAAGTTTTCGTACAACACTCTTCAGGAATCACCGTTGTACTAAAGAACAAAATGAGAACAAAGGAAATAATATAGCAATCAAGGTAGGGTGACACGATACAATGACAGCACTAGAATATCGAGGTGCGATTTCTCACAAAAGTGTGCAGAAAACAAGGGTATACAAGTAAGAACTAAGCGTGACAAGTGTGTATCAGCAACAAAAAACAAAAAAGTGAGAACGAATGATAATAATAACAATAATAAACAAGAAGGTGACAAAACACATTTAGGCACAAGTGGCAACAACGTTGCCACACTACACAACAGAACATTATTTGAACAATTTTAAGGTAATAACACTATCTTTCTGGACACACAAATTCGGCTTATGAATGCGCTGACAAACAGCTTCCAAAACTTGTAACTGCAAAAGATAACCATGACGAGCACGGCACAAAACAGAAAAACAGGAATCAGAATAAGTACGACAACAGTCAGTACTAGAAACCAAATGATTGTATACTGAAGACTTGTTATTACGAGACGGACGCACACAATCTCGACTCACGCGCACACCCTCACACTCACTCTCACCCTCACTCAGCTCACCTTCTCCCTCACTGTCCGAATCAGAACCTGCTCCGTCATCCACCGCGGTTTGACTCTCCTCCTCACTTGCATCGTCCTGCGTCTCACCTTCACCACCCACGCCAACCCTGAATGCCGTTGCCTTCACGTCAGTCGTCGTCCTTTCCGATTGTTTCCTTTGTATTTTTACCGTGAATTCATAGGTCCGGTTGTAATC